AAAAAAAAAAAAAAAAAAAAAAAAAAAAAAAAAAAAAAAAAAAAAAAAAAAAAAAAAAAAAAAAAAAAAAAAATTGAACGTCGCGTCAATAAAACTTCTGCTGTTTGATTGTTGATACTTGATTGTTTTTGTTTCAATGTAAATGACTACGTTGATTTTACTCCCCTGCCATTCAGTGTTCATTGCAGCCGAATCTACTAGCGGTAGCCAAATTCAATTGAAGCCCCAAGAGGACGGACCTGGGTTCAACCAGAACGATTGGATCCTAGCTCCGTTTCAGTACGAAGCCAATGACCACCTTTCTTTTGTGGAACATATCCATAAGGCATTTGATCTCTTGAATGCAAATCCTGATGCACGGCTGGTTATATCCGGGGGTTTTACCAAAGAGGGATTAAATATATCCGAAAGCGATAGCTATTTACAAGTTGCACGATTGAGAGGTCTAATCACTGAACAAAACAAAGACAGAATATATCTAGATGAGTATGCCCGTGACTCCTATGAAAACTTGCTTCTCGCCATTGCTCTTTTCCGCAAAAAAACCGGGAGATTTCCTCGAAGAACCCAAATTGTTGGTTTTCAGTTCAAAAGATACAGATTTTTGGAGTTGCATGCCAAGGTGCTAAAGTTAAAACATGTTGAATACTTTGGAATAGGACCCAGTTATCCTAGTGCTGCAGCTCTTCACATCCCAGAGCATGAATGGGAAACCAAATGTAAGCGCTACTTTGATGATCTTCAATTTAGCGAAAAGAGATTTGCTACCGATTTATTCGAACAGGACTGGTTTGGCTGCATTGGATCCAAATTATACGATAAAAAAGTCTCCAGGGATCCATTGAAACGCGGCCTCGGTAGAGATTTTTATTCACAAGACTTGGAGCCTATCCTCAATGCGTTCTTAGGTTTTGACCAACTTACTTTTCCTGAAGCAAAAGCTGCATACGATAATTTAGGACCTTTTCCATGGTGACTTATTCCTCAGGGCCACTTAGTAGATTTAGCAGTTCCTGTTTCCTCTCTTTGGCTCTGTCCATCTGTTCTAGTTCTGCTTTTAGGAATGCAATCTCTTTGTCCATGCTTTCAAACGTCTTCAGGCCGTCGTCTACCTTCTCGAACTCATAGTTGTCAACGTCATTCAGGCGAAGCACATAATCGTGGTACTTGACCAAAGTTTCGCGATGGCTGATAGTGATGAAAGTAAACTTTTTAGCCTTCATCATCTCGAAAATTGCGTCCTCATAGTCATAAGATATCGCATTTGTGGGCTCGTCAAGAATCACGAACTTCTTTTGATGAAACAGCACTCTAGCCATGATCAATTTTTGGCGTTCGCCTCCACTAAGCAATGTATGCCAGCTCTTCTTCCCGTCCCCTAAACCGGCGTTGGAATTATATATCTTAACACTTTTCCCGTTGACAATCAACTCGTCGGTCATGATGGGTTCAGCTTCATTTGGATGGAAATCCAAATTTCCAAATCTTTCTATCAAATACCCAAGCCCAACTTCATTCAGATAAGTCATCAGTTGGAGATCTGTGTATCCCTTTTCAATCATTTGCAAGTGGTTCAGAGGATATATTATTTGATCTCGTAAGGAACCGTTGATGAAGTAAGATTTCTGCGAAACATACATTATTTCATTTGGTGCAGGCTTTGATAGGAGTCCACGATACAGCGGCCATAGTTCCGAAATGATACGCATAATGGACGTTTTTCCAATTCCGTTTTTCCCCAATATCAACAAAGTTTCACCCAGATTTAATTTGAAGTTCAAGCTGCTCAATAATTTGGTGCCATTGACTCCTTCTGGCGATGGCACTATCACTGGGATGTTTTCAAAGCGGAGACCAGGATATGACGTCTGAATTGTTCCGTTGATTCCGATTTGGGAGCTGGAAGGAACACGCAATCTTGAAGTGAATGACGTAAGTTTCAATTGAGAGCCAAATCCGTTAGAGGCAATACCATATTGGAAATTGTTATCGTGGACTTCATGCAAATTGAGTAGCAAAGTGAAAATGCGATCTGTGACTCCGCTCAAGCTGCTAATGTCTTTGATTGAATACATCAGACGAGATCCAGCATCAGCCATGTTTAGCATCAATCTCTTGTTGACAATGAAACCTTTGATGCTGTCCGAATCTGCAGAGTTGTAGTTCAGCAAAATAGGGAAACTGGAAAAGAAATAGCCAAAGGCAGGCCAAGCGTATCTCAAGATATACTCCTCTAGAAGTCCATAGTGGAATTTTGCGTTTATCTCCAAGTTTGAATGCGATAGAAGATTGTTGAATATTTTGTGGACCTTACTTTTCTCGATCTTGATTCCTTTATAGAACGAAATTTCCTCGCAGTTATTGATTAGGTTCAAATTGTAGTTGTAATATATTCCTTCTAGATGTGTCTTTGTTTTCCATATTCTGCTGAAGTTGGGCGAGTGGCGCTTCAAAAACCATCCGGTCAGGAAATAGCACATCAGAATTCCAGAAATACCTGCGCTACCGATATTGTCACGTAGATAGATGGCAAAGAATATAAGATCAACTGTCGGCTTGCCAACATTCAGAAACATGGATGTCAGTGAGTCGCTGAACTTCTTGATGTCTTCCGTTAGGTATTGATCAACGTAGTTGAAATCAATCTTATACACGTCTGACTGATTCTGATTGAATTGTAGCTTGTAATATACCATTCTAGGGTCCATGTACAAGTCGTGACAATATCTGACTAGATTGGTTCGGAAGTTGAGGGCAAGACGGTGTGTTAAAAACCCTATTCCAGAATTAATGTACGAAGCAGGAAACGCAAACAAGAACCAATAAACGATGCCTCGCAAAAATGCCTTTCCTCGGAGCCCTATGAGATCTTTCACTATTTGTCCATCTAGTCTTGTAACCAGTAAGCTCATCCAGGTTCGTGCAATCAGACAAAGTAACTGTCCAACGAGGATAGTGCTATTGGGATGTAGCACTTTTGGAATAAGCACATGTCGCCAGATAATGTACAGTTTCTTGAGAAACTTAGACTCAACCACACTGTCAGTCATATCGCTGAACTCCGTGTCGCGAAGGAACTTTTTAAAAACCAGTTTATCGTGCTCATATTTATCTGGATTTGTGCGATCTATTTTCACCTTTAGATTGTTGTTCTTGTAAGGAACATTGATGATACGATAATCGGAACCTTTTTTGTAGAAGTTGCGCTTCGAAAGATCCAACTGACCCTTTTGAAGCGACTTCAGCTTGAAATAGTTGATCAACTTGATAACATTGTATACAAGCACAAAGAGGGAGCTGGAGGAGATGGATAGCAGGAATAGCAGCACCGGCTTAGAGTTCAAACTGATGTTCAGGAACTTGAGGGCGCGGCTGTTATTCCATAGAAGCCTTGACAAACTCTGTTTTACCGATGCCCTCGTAATATCTAAACTCATTGCTCACAATTCCACGATTCTGCGCTCGTTATATACTTGCCTACGCAATCACATGCGAACAGGAGCGTTTAGTGCTTATGTAATCCGGGGTAATGAGGAGAACTACGCCAATTCGAAACTGGCCACGAGTATATTTGGGCGGACTCCGAGATCAAAATGGTCTTCCTCATATCCAACCAGTTTAGTCTGGTGTCCTCTTGTTTGATACTGGACCCCATTAAGAGTGTTCTTAGTGTTAGCCAATGATAGCCCGAAGAAGTGTAATCACCCCATTTTTAACGGTGCACGGGTGTCTTCTAGGAGGTCATTCTTTAAATTTGCGCACTTCGAAAATAATAATGTAATTTAAATTTTCCCAATGATTCTCAATAGACTTTCAATTGCCTCGAGAAGGCCAATAAGGATGCCTGTGGCTTCTCTGATGGCCAGAAATACTGTTCTACAACAGTACAGATTGACGCACCAACAAAACGCGCACCAAACACAGCTAGATGACGACTCAAACAATGACTTTATGGCCACCAACAAGTGGGCGAAACATTCTTTGCCTGATAAAAGTCTACCGCCTGCCCCAAGCCCAGAGCCTTCAATACCCAAGAAGAGAAGAAGAAGGCAACTCAAACCGCTCAAATCCGTGATTACGCTTACGCCTAACGCTATACTTCATTTGAAGCAATTGATGCAACAACCCGACCCAAAGCTCATACGAATCAGTGTGCGGAACCGCGGGTGTTCGGGATTGTCATACCATTTGGAGTATGTTTCGCATCCGGAGAAGTTTGACGAGCAAGTGGAGCAAGATGGTGTAAAGGTGTTAATTGATTCTAAAGCGTTGTTTAGCATTATCGGATCCGAAATGGACTGGATAGACGATAAGTTGAGCTCGAAGTTTGTTTTCAAAAATCCGAACAGCAAAGGTAGCTGCGGTTGTGGAGAATCGTTCATGGTGTAGACGGCGACATAGGATTATTTATTTATTTACATTCGATGCATTAAATTCAATTACTCATTACTTTATATATCTTTAGATTCCACCAATCAAAGTGGCTTACACTCTTTTTTGAGCCAGTTGTACTCAAGACTCTTCTTTGGTAGTCTGGATTCGTAAAGTTGCCAAATCTTCTGATGATAGTCGTTGATATACTGTTTTTCCTCTGGCGAAAGCATCTTGACGTCAATTAACTTCCGGCAGTAGGGAACGGTAGTCACCGTTTCAAATTCCAAGAATTGTTTCCCGTCAAGAGACGTTTTGTCGCTCTTCTTAACAAAGAACATGTTCTCGATTCGAATGCCATACTCTCCTGGTTTGTAGTAACCGGGTTCATTGGATATAAGGTGACCAGGAGTCAAAGGTGTCGAGTTGCATTGTGGCCTGTAGCCAATCCCAACGCCCATCGAATGCACCGGTCCATAGGAATCAACTCCATGACCCGTTCCATGTTCATAATCCAATCCATGTTGCCACAAAAACTGTCTTGCAATACTGTCGACCTGGTAGCCAGTATAGCCTTGAGGGAAAACCAACTTAGCCAGTGCTACATGGCCCTTCAAAACCAGCGTATAGTTCTTGATTTCCTCTTCGGTAGGGTTTTTGAAATGGAAAGTACGCGTTGTGTCGGTAGTTCCATCCAAAAACTGGGCTCCCGAGTCACAAAGATATATTTTGTTTGGGTTGATTATTGTGCTTGTTTCTCTTTTTGGTGTGTAATGGATAATGGCAGCATTCGACCCAGTAGAAGAAATGGTCTCGAATGATGGTCCTTTGAAATTGTCCAGCTGAGATCTGAATTCGAGCAGCTTCATTCCTCCCTCGTATTCTGATACAAATTCGTCCTTATTGATAAGCTGATCTTCGAGCCAAGCGAAATATTTAATCAGCGCCATGCCGTCTTTTATTTGTGCATTCTTTTGGTTTTTGAGCTCAACTTCGTTCTTCACTTCCTTCATTTCAGCAATTGGAGAGTCAATTTCGAGGAAATTTTTAGCAATGATGCAATTCACCATCTTCCAAGAGGCCTCCTTGGTTAGCAGAATTTTAGCTCCTTGAGAGTTGAGCTCAGAGGCAAACTTTCTAATGTCAGACCATATATCTTCGTAGTTTTTGACTTGACACTTGATAGATTGCAAATAAGTCTTCAACGTGTCAGAGCTGACGGACGCACTGTTCGTGTACAGCGTGAGTCTGTCCTTTTCAATGACCAAATAACTGTAAAATAATGGATTAAAATCAATGTCCTTGCCTCTCAAATTCAACAGCCAAGCAATCTGGTCCAGTGCAGATAAAACTAGGGTAGAAGAGCCATATTTGTTAAAATACAACTGCAATCTTTCCAATTTCGACTGTGTACTTTCTCCAGTGTATTCAAGTCCCAAAGGGACAATCTCGTTGAATTGCCTCAGTGGCATTTCCTCAAACAGTGACCAGATTTTATCAATCAAGTTTTCGCGCACAGGAACTATCTTGACCTTATCTGTGTTTTTCTGCGACACCAACGATTCAAGAGTTTTGATCTGTGAGTAAGTGAACAGTGTGGGGTCAACACCGATTTTGATTGTCTCGCCTGAATCACGAGTCATCTGGACGGCTTGTTCAACTGTCCATTCCTCCCAGCTAGGCTCTCCTGGAATTCCTTGCTTCAATAGTTGCCAATTAAAGTCTAGCTCGTTGGCAGCTTGAATGAAATAGCGTCCGTCTGTTGCTAAAGCAGAAAGACCTTCTGGAGTTTCATTCATGCATGTGACGTCCCTAGTCACAATCGCCACCCCTGAAGAGCCTCCAAACCCACTAATAAAAGCTCTTCTTTGGTCAGGTGCAGAAGTGTACTCTGATTGATGGGCGTCTGCAGAGGGAATGATATAAATGGCAATGTCGTGCAGTTTCATTTCCACCCTCAGTTTCTCGAGCCTCAAAGAGGTGTTTATTTCTTTTGTGGAGCATTTTGAGTCAATCGTATAAAGAGACTCTCCCGTACGCCTTCTTGCAGACAGCCCTGGAGAGGAGCCTGCAGTCTGGTTGGCCTTTAAACTATTAGTGCGGTTGATGTTAATACGCTTGAGGTAAATTGATGAGCGTCTTCCTTGACGGCTGAGAAGACCCGGTGAGCAAGTGCAATTCGCACAAGGTCTGCTTGAGGTACCTAAGCGCCCCTGTCCAGACACCTGTCTCATTGTAGTTGCGCCCGGCGTTCCGTTGTTCGAAATAAGGGAGAACATCGATGGCTTGGGGTTCATCGTCTGTGACATTTTCAGATACTAATTTTTAGTTGGCTATGATGTTTTTGAATCCGATGTGCTTAAATAAAGGTACAACAAAACCTGTTCTGATTCAAAAAAACGTCAAAGAATATTCTTTCTTATTTTAATTCCAATAGTCGTCTATCTGCTTACTTTATCTCACAAATACTACACCCCTACACCGGATCAGTTCCTTCTGGCACGGTGGCGGGTGTGAAACACAGTTGGCGATTTTGCCCTACTTCCACAAACTAATGCTGGTATTCGCACGAGAACAATAGCATAGCGGCGAGTGCCACCTCTCTTTGTAATTCAGGAGCCTTAACAATAGCAACACTTTTTCTTAAAACCCAATGGTTATGTAAGCAAGAAAATTTTTCTACTCTGGTTCGCACTATAAATATGGGCCCAAAGTCGCCCAACCAGTTTTTTTTTTCTTCGTCGACGTACTTCATAGGATCATTTCTATAGGTCACGTCTCTCTTTGACTCTTCAAAAGAGCCACTGAATCCAACTTGGTTGATGAGGTAGATACCTTTGTGTCCTAGAGTGAGAAAAGCTAGCTTGACCGCGATCCTTAGTGGTCCGGTCATCTACAACATGCCTTGTTCATCAAGGAGCGATGATCTCGATCCATTACACGTACTTCTTCGGAAGGGGTGTTTTGGATGGACGCAAATGGCTGTCTGACAAGTTACATTAACTTATGTTTACATTTGTTAATGTGATTTGTAGAAACTCTCTATGTTGGGTCGACCATGTATAAAACTTTGTATAGCTTTATACTAAAAAAATTGAGTGAAAAATTACAGCCCTAAACTGTAGAGTGTATCCAAATACCCGTAGAAATATTTGGAAATCAAATTAATTTCTTGTTATATGAATGTTTATCCGGAGGAGGAGATCATTGCGGTATGTATGCTCTTTTGTGGAAGAAGCTAACTTCTAGTTGGTCGATGCGTTATACAGCTCGTCTACCGACGTAATTGAGATCCAGAAAAAGTTACAGGAATATCAGAAATCCGAATATGGATGGACGATGGCTCACCGATTGCTGCAGCATCCATCAATGAATTGCAAGTTTTTTGGTGCTCTCACATACACAGTCAATCTCAATTTTCATGGCGGAGAACTAACTAAGAAAGAAAACGAACAACAGCTGAATCAAATTCGAATCGCTCTGTTAAATCAGGTCCTGCAGCTGATCAATGATGATGCTGTTCTACAAAGTGGCATGTTCGTTGTCAAGAAAATGCTGTCCAACCTCTCTTTGATGTTTATGAATAGCAGTGGAACATGGTGCAATCCTCTGTTAACGTTGATCAACTGCATCGTGTGCAACCAAGTTTCGGACTCTAATATCGCTAACGACCAAATCGATGAGGCCTTGAGCCGCCTTCCGTCGCCAAAAGCCTATGTCCTCTTGCTTTTCGTCCAAATCTTAGCGGAGGAGTTGGTCAAGAAAGAAGCGACGAACGTGTCCAATGTACAAACCCATAATTTAGTCCACCAGCACTTATTTCCAACAGTTCAGAAGTTGATGACGGCTTTTATCAATCTATCGCCAGAACGAAAACTCATAGAAACATGGCTTGACTGTCTCGTCTCGTGGGTGGGGTATGCCTCAAAGGCTGAGTTTGATTCCACAGAACGCTATGATCTAACAGGTCTTCTCTCAATATGTATCTCGCTCGTCACCAACACAGATTATGCCATCTCTCAGAAGGCCATTGAGACCCTGAGCGAGGCTTTAGAAACCAATGCTACATTTTTCAATAGCCAACTAAAAGCAGATTTGCTATCGATTTTATTTGGCGAAGTTGGCCTTCAATATGTGAATTACTTTAGCTCTCAACAAGACGAGAAAAGTGTGGCGGACTTTGCGAGGCTGATAATTGCCTTTTTAGACACAGATTTGAATGCATTAGTTCTAAAACTCACAAACGATGAGAACGAGTATATTTTCGATTTCCTACTTGTCCTCACAGACTATCCAGGAATTCCGATAGAAGAGGAGTCAGTTTCCAGAGAGTTGGCCGACTTCTGGCTTCGCTTTGCAGACTACTGTATATGTGAGGATACTACTCTCCAAACGCTTCTGCATGATAAGCCAGGTGGTCACGAGGCTCTTTCTGAAAAGATCAGGGCCTTATTCGAAAAAGTCACCCAGATATATTGGAAAAAAGCGCATGTTCCTGAAGATGAAGAAGACTTTTCGCAGTACAAGCAAGAGTTCGCCCTCTATAGAAGAGATATCGGAGATTTGTTTGAGTCTGTGTACCCATTGCTCAAACTTCCGCTGATAATCAGTCTTCTAATAACCATAGAAAAAAGCATACAAATAGGGAAGCCGGCAGATATTGAGCCATCTTTGTATCTTGTAACTTATATTTCCAAGGATTTCGGGGACGGAGAGGTGGATCCTCAATTGGTGCAGCACTTGGGCTCGATCTTAGATGCGAATCTTCTGCCTATCGTCCTGCAAATGAAAACAGATCGCTTCAGGTATCTTGTTAGTACCACAATTCAATTCTTTTCGAGCGCAGATTGGTTTTACAAAACAGATGCGGCGATCAAGTACCTGCCTCAAATATTGAGCTTCTTGTTTGATTGCATGATCAACACAAACATATATCAGCTTTCGAGCTCAAAAGCTATCTCGAATATATGCAGTCAATGCAGGTATTCTCTGATCGAGTTTTTGCCTAGTTTTGAGACTATGACCACGGAGATGATCAATAACATAGCTATCGATCCCGTTGTTAGGCAGCGCATAATTAACGCATACGCCTCTATAATAGAAGGTGTGAAGGATCCCGTGATTCAAGGCGAGCACCTTTTCAAGCTATTCGATCTTTTGGACAAGAAATCAGTGTCTGTATTTGCAGAACTGGCCACAGCTAATGCAGAAGAGCGCGAAAAAATGGTTGATTATCTGACAAGCCTGATGAGCTCTGTCAGTGCCGTTGGGAAAGGCATGCAACTACCAGACGAAGTAGATGGATACTATACAAAAGAACAAGAGATGAAGGTGCATGAATATTGGACCACAGATCCTTTGGGAATACATTCCAAATTATTGACAATCATTACAAACTTCACGATGACCAACGAAGTTTTATCAGAGAACTACCAGATAATTGAAGAGGCTGCTAATTTGTTCAAGTGTGGGCTCACGGAGTCTCTTCCTGGGCCTTTTGTGTTCGACTGTGCGACCATTTTGCAATTCATTGTGACAAAATTTAGCTCATTGAAGAAGTCCCATGCATATCCCCTTCTTTATTCGTTACTGAATTCGGTGGTCACAGCTCACTACAGGACTTTAGACCTCGAGGTCCTACATGGAACGGTCAACACCATATTTCTGTCAAATCTTCCAGTGATTGAAGACGATCCAGATCTTGTTCAATCGAGTCTCAATCTTTTCAGCACGATGCTCACTACAAGGCCCTCTTTGTTACTCTCAAATGAAAACCTGCTCATGACCGTGTTAGAATTTGCGTTCAGACACTTGGGATCAAATGAGCGATTTGTTCTGAAAGCACTCGAAAAGTTCTGGACAAGGTTTATCACTTTGAGAAAAGGAGATAGGCAGGACACGGTGATGGTCAAAAGACTGTTCAATGAAACTAAGTTGGGCTACGTGCTAACCTTCAATGTGCTGAAGTATATGTTTGCTACGCAGAGATCAAATTTGGAGACTTTCATCGAGATCATTAAACAGCTCGTGGCTAAATATCCCTTGATGATGAACAAGTGGCTGCAGGCAGCATTTCCAAAGCTCAACGAAGAAAGAGAGAAAAAGATCGAAAACTGGGAGATTTTTGTGAAGAAAGTGATGCTTACCAGAGGTACCAGAAGTGCAAATGATTTGATCAAAGATTTTTGGCTGGAGGTAAACGGGTTGATCAATTATAAGTAATTCATTTAACGATAAGCGAAAATACACAGAAAAAGCCATACCTATCACACAGAGTAGCTGCTGAGAATTTCTACTAGGGCCTCGCACTCGGCAAGATAATCGACCTTAGCAAGACTGGCGACAGTGAATCTAGCTCTGTCTTGGCCCTGGTAGCTATCGACTTTACCACGAACTCTGAGCAGCACCTCTTTGAAAGAAATGTTCTCGTTGATGAAGTTTTTAAGAGCGTTTTCTCCTACACTCTCGATGCTTGGGTCCTCGGCGTCGTTCTTGAGCTTCAGGAGCTCTGCAGCACTCAATCCCAAAAGCTGGGTAGCTTGCTCATCGAACAATGTAAGCCACATTTGGCCGCTCTCATCCACAACTGACACAGTCAAAATGTATCTGTAATTAGGCTCAGCATGATTGATGTTGCACTTTTCGCATCTCCAAGTGCCATTATCCTGCTCAAGCAACTTCTTGTTACAGCCCTCGCTTCTGCACGCTGGATAGCAAAAGTTGTCTGTCTTAATGAAAGAAATCGTGGCCTTTAAGCTGAAATAATCAGGCTTATCTTTTAGTCCCAACTTCTCGTCCTGAACCTGTTTGATGGTCTTGCGTTCCAAAATAGACTGTTTGGACGTCAGACTCGTCGCTCCAGAAGAGCCAGACTCAACGGCAATGCTTCTAAAGCTCTGGTGTGATCCTTGCGCATCATACCATCCTTTGATCTTGTAAGCTTCTTCAATATCGGGGTTTACAACGATGGTAGCAGCAGGAATCAGAGAAAGACTCTTTCCTCCAAAGTCTTGCACTCTGCAACCTTTGAATGCAACCACTGAGCCAACTGGAACATCGAATTCCCGAGCGTGCTTGTTCCATAAGCCGATGTTGACAGCAAATTGCGATTTGTCGACTAGCACAATATCTCTTCTGTCGAAAGGCTTCCCAGTGGATTTGGCAACGATCTCCTGTTTATCCTTAACTTCCTTCAGAATACCAATGACGTCAATGACGGCACCGTTCTCAAGGTTCTGGACTTGGTCCAGCGGAACAAAATCAAAATGGAGTTTTGGAACGTCAGAGTCATCGTCGCAAGGTTCAATGATGGTGTCCTTGTCGAACTGTAACTCATACTGGTGCTTCAAGTTAGAAAATTGCGGTTTGGCCATCTGCATGGAAGCTTTGCTGATATAGAACACTTTGTTCTCTTCCAACAAATCCCAGAACTTTTCAGCTACCTGATTGAAAGCAGTCGCTCTGATCTCTCCGGTCTCGTCCAACAAATTGACATTGAAGAGTTTGCCATCGCCTCTTTGGTTGGACCAATGCTTCATGTCGCTCTTGAACGAAACTCTGGCCTTGATGGTCCAGGAGTTCTGATAGGGAGACAGCTGATCAATTGAGTACAGGTTTTGGTACTTTGGCGGTTTGGAAACGGTCTTCTTCGGCATCGTTGCTGCAGGTGACGCTGACATGGCAGAATCCCGGATAGGAAGCTGTCCCTGGAGCAAATTGTTGTCCTCCGGGTGTTCCTTAAGGTAGTCATCGAGGCTCTCGAACTTGATCTCGCTCTTTTCTCCTTGTTCAACTACCTCGGCGCGATCCACAACCAGGAAAATTTTACCATTGTTGGTGGGCGTAATCTCATATTGTGTTATCTTCAAAATACAGTATCTTTTGAAATTCTCAATGGCGTTTTGGGCCTCGCTAGGCTTGAACACACCATTGATAGCATACTGGCCATCGTTCAACATAAGTCTCAATCTTTCTCCGGTTGACTCAGGGATTGACTTAGCCTGATGGGCTTGCAGGTAGAGTGTGTCTGGCATGACACCATCCCTGCAGATACTCAAAATAATACCAGGCTTCAACATGAGCGAAGATAAGTAAATTGCCATCAAATATTTCGCACTTTTATTTACGCGTCGCATCTCACCATAATACTGGTGTAAAGTTGTTTTTCACAAACTGATCTCTTTTACGCTCTTGCTCTTGCAGGCGACATACAAGCTACCAGGAATTGCGCAGAAATCGTTTAGCCCGTAATAGTCGCTGAATATAGATTCAACTTTTCCATCATAATCGACGATGGCCACCTGTCTCTGCAAGCAGAAGATTTTGTTGTCCGATATCTGTATCTTGCGAACTTCCTCGTCGCCCTGCAGTTCCCATGCCTTTTCGGATCCTCGAAAACACCTTATCGTGCCGTCAGAATGGCCCGTCACCAAAAGCTCCTTATTGGCAGCAAACGCAGACATTCTGTCCCCCGCTGAAAACTCACCAAGAGAACAGCGCGTTTCCAAATCGTACGTTGCCACCACGCCGCTTTCGTGGGCAACTAGCAACGTCTTGTTTTCTGTCTCGTAAAAAATAGAGTCAGATACCTGTTGAACTTCATTCCTGGGGCACCCAGTGTCTATCACAGTGAGTCCTACCACAGGATCTGCCAAATTCTTCACTCGCCGAAACTCCCAAACTGCTTTTCCACTGGCACACTCCCATATGTAAACTGCACCATCCCGCGCTCCAGAGACAATATTTCTTCCGCGCCCTATCGCAGCGAGGGCTGTGAGCGTTGAAGTATGCTTGCGCATCGTTCTTGGGTTGCTTCCGTCCAGCACAGACCAGATTTTGATGCTGTAATCAAGGCCCATTGTCATCGCCACCTGCTTGCTTGGAAAGTACTGTATTTGTAAAATATCTGAATAGTGGGCGTCGTGCGCCTCGACACACTTGCCATCGGAATTTATAAACTTGAGTTGTCCTTGTGTACCGCCTAGAGCAAGTTTGCCATCGTCTGTGGCGGCCAGGCAGCTGACTTCATAATCAGCATTCATGATCGACGACGGTTGTTTCACTGTGATGCTTTTAGAACCATTTTTCAGCACAATGTCGCCATTCTTTTCCTCGAACTTCCATGGTCCTAAGGAGACAATCTCCTTGCCAACACACTCAAACTCGGTTCGCTCGTCATTAATATAGACCCAGAACCTTTCATTTTCTACCACGCCCCTTTGCACATCTTGTATCACGTACCGGAAATCATGTTGGATGATGACGTTGTCTATCATCGGCTGTGCAGAAAGTTTAAGAAATATTTTTACCTTTTCGAATTATTGTCATGTCTTCAGAAAAGGAGAATGAAGTCCTGTCGATGTTTTTTGATGATGCCTTTGTGTCTCACGACTACCTTGACGCTCTATTCACATCTTCACTGAATCTCAACGCGCCACAACTCAAGAACAAGTCTGTGACATTCGCATCGCCAAACTCTCTTAAATCATTACAAGGTAAATGTCTCTCGCTTTTGACACATCTAGACTACTATACCAACGAGCTGACGCGCCAATTTGAGAAGAAACTTCAGGATTTGCATAATTCGTCATCCATAATATCCTACGCCTCAGAAAATAGTGGAGGTATTACCAGACTGGAGTACTACGTGGAGTATCTAGCTTCTTCTATTAACTCTCTCAACAGAGATATGGATGACGTGAACGTTAAGTTGAATAATGTACGGGAGCATCCAGAATCACAGGAGTTGATCAGGAACATTCAAACGCTCAACTTAGTGAAAGAACGTATTCAAGCGGTGCTGAATATATTTGAGACTGTCCAAGCAGTGGTGCTGACGAGTGCGATTGAAGAAGAGAAGTCGAATGGCGCGCATCAGACTTCTTCATTAGCACCAACAGGGGCCTCCTCTGAAGAGGCAGCGACCAATGTCTCACTAGACACGTTTTCGTCCTCACTCAACATCTTGGAAGAAACCATCATGGAACAAATACAAAAAGATAAAGGTTTAGGCGAGGTAAACAATGACCTCTTGGAGAAAATACAGGTTTTAGTGGATTTGACGCCCTTTTTCAAGAGCCTAACAAGGTTCTACCCTGTCTATGCTGATTTCGCCGAGTTCCTGAAGAACGAGAACAAACGGTACCTTGCAAAATTTAATAGATAGTGATTTCTAATATTATACATGACATCCTATAAATCCTGAGAATGCGCCGTGAATCTGCTGTCATTTTGAGAGAATAGGGTGTTATCAGTTGTTTGCGTAGCAACAGAAGTATCCGTGGACGTGGAGGACCTCGACCTACCACTGATGTGTTTGATATGCGACACACTTAGTATATTATCGTTTTCATCTTGAGAATCTGATGATTCGGATTCTGGGTCCAGGTCTAGCTTCTTCTTTCTCTTGAAACTCAGCAGGAAAATCATTTTGTTGAAGGCCCTTGTAGGGAAGACCCTTTCCACCCAAATGTCTGGAATTATTCTGATAATGATACCTGCTGGGATAGAGAGCAGTCCACAGACAATGGCAGTCCCCCACATTGCACCTGTTTGTCTTGCGATACTGAAAGCGGCGCCTCCCACATACATAATGAGAATCTGGAACCCGCCGATAATTGCTGCAATGGTGATGAAATACCAATTGCTGAAGAAATGTTGTGTAAAGTCGAGATTCGAACGAGTGATACGGTCTCTCACTTTCGTGATTCCGTCGCCCTCATCCAGCTTCCGTGTCAAGAAGAGATTGAAGAACTGCAACCAGACAAAAGTATTGAAAGTCAGAGCAGAGATTTGAGTCGACTGGTGATCGTCCACATGACCACCAGGGAAAAATATTTTATCTCCTGCAAAATGGAGCACAAAAGTGATCACCAATTGAACAACAGACTGTCCGAGAATCATCTTCCACATGGAGGTGGAAATCAGAGGAGCATGGCGACCAGCTGGCTTTCTATTCAAAATGTCTTCGTCTGGCTTATCTGTAGCAAGAGCTAATGCTGCCAGAGTATCCATGATCAGGTTCACCCAGAGCAACTGAACAGCAGTCAAAACGGAGCTGTCGTCCGACGAGGCGACGGCAGAAATGAACGTCAGTGCGACAGCAGTGACGTTCACCGTGAGCTGGAATTGAACGAACTTGCGGATAGATGTTGCAACGGTTCTTCCCCATTTGATGGCATTGACGATTGATGAAAAATCGTCCGTTGTCAAAATGATATCAGAAGCTTCTCTCGCAACTTCGGTACCCGCAATGCCCATGGAAAAACCAACGTCGGCAAGCTTCAATGCAGGCGCATCGTTGGTTCCGTCTCCAGTCACCGCCACAACCTCTCCCTGATTTCTCAAAGTGTCGACTAAAATCCGCTTGTCCTCAGGACTGGACCGAGCCAGCACGCGGAGCTTGGGGACAAGATTGATGCGCTCTTGTGGACTCAAGGTTCTGAAAACAGGACCTTCCATGCATGCTGTCGGATCGTTGAATGTTTCCTCGTTGAGAATTCCGCAATTTTTGGCAATGGCACGAGCCGTCAAGATATTGTCACCGGTCACCATCCTCACACGGACACCCGCCGTGCCACACTTGGCAACAGCTTCCGCAACACATTCTCTGAGAGGATCCTGAATACCCACCAAGGAATCCAAAACCAATCCCTCACGCTTTGCTGTGTTCTCCTCACCAACAACAATTTTTGGAATGTTGGTGTTTTTAGCTCCTATTGATTCGGCATCGTCAGCCTGAACTTCCACTGCCTCCCCGAAAAGCAAATTCGGATCAGCCTCTCTTCTGTTATCTGATTTCGCCATACTGGTAGGAGGCCACGATTCCAATCCTTCAAAGTCGCAGTGAGCAAGACAGAGCGTCCGCAGAGCGTGTTCTGCAAGATTGGTGATCTTGGACGTGATTTCCTCCTTGATGGTGCTGGTGATTGGCATTATCTTACCATCCAGAGTAGTTCTATGAGTACATCTGGAAAAAACCAGCTCTGAAGCTCCCTTGATGTAGAATCTGTAACCTGAGTTAGTCTTGACCACAATTCCACCCCATTTGCGAGAAGACTCAAACGGAATAACCTGGACTATGCGGTGTTGCGCTTGCTCTCTAATGAGTTCCAACGACGTGTTTTCGTTGATTACATGGAACCGATCTTGAGCAAAAAGAAGTAAAGCACACTCTGTTTTCGACCCAACAAACGGCTCTTCGGCCTTTGGATTCTCAGGTTTCTCCCTTTTCTTGAACAGCCCTTTTTTCTGCCCTTGAGAAATTTGCTCTCCTTTGCTAGCCTCGAAGGCCGTTGAGTTTAGCAAAATGTTGTCGAGTAAGCTATTTTTCAGACTATCGCTGATAGTCTCAAGGTCAGCCTGTCCGTTTTCCCGTGAAAGAGTGTAATCAAAATCACTGTCGCCTACGAAACCTTTGACAACGCGCATTCTGTTCTCTGTGAGCGTACCTGTCTTGTCGGAGCAAATCGCCGTCGCGCCTCCCATCGTTTCACAGCTTCTCAGAACACGCACCAGATTGCCATCCTTTGTCATCCGTGTAGTTGCAAAAGCAAGGGCCAACGTCACAGCCAAAGGAAGGCCTTCCGGCACAGCCACAACAATGATCGTAATGGCCGTGATAAGAATATTTAGGAACTTTGTACCCTTCTGCGCACCTGTCAGATTCTTGTAATCCGTTCCCAACTTCACACAGAACTTGATGAAGAGCACAAAAAACAGTATGATGGCTGCCAAGAATCCGAATCTGGCAATACCGTCTGCCAAGTGCGAAAGTCTTGCCTGCAGCGGAGTTTCCTCAGACTCGTGACGAAGGGACATCATGATCTTTCCGTGCATGGAATTCGTGCCAACAGCAGTCACGATAGCTTTTCCTTGACCAGAAATCAACTTCGCGCCGGATATCAGCATCGGATCATCAACCCCTTTGTCACCTATATCCTTGGATGTGTTACCCAAAGCCTTGTAACGCTCTGTTGCATAAGCTGCAGGAATTTTGCGGATGGCATGTGTTTCACCGGTAAGAGAACTTTCATCGCACTCGCATTCTCCAGAAACCAAGACCGAGTCTGCTGGAACAACCTCACCCGTTTCCACATATATCAGGTCTCCCACCAGAAGCTGTCCGATGGGTATAAATTGCTTCTCTCCCGACCTGTAAACAATCACGTTACGGTCGTCCTTTTTAGCATTCAGCTTTGAGAATTGCCTCTCTTTATTGTAGTCGTTGACAGATCCCACGATCACAACGATAGCGATGGCCACAATGATGGCCACACCTTCGACCCACTCAACTTTGGGCAGGGGTTTGCCCTCGTCATCGTATTCAGTAGGTTGACCGAAGGTTTCATAGAGACCCAATGCCAACGACACAATGGCTGCGATGGAAAGCATGATCAAAATCTTGTCCTTTAACGCCTCCCAACACAACCGCAAAAACGATTTGCTAGCTTTCTTGGGAAGCACGTTGACCCCATAAACATGCTGTCGTTGCTTAAGCTCTAGCTCAGGAATATCCTTGGACAAACCTCTAGCCTCGTCGGTGGCCAGCCCTGACACGAGGGCGTCTATGCCTCCAAGCTCCTGGAGCTTTATCAGGGATTTGGGGTCATGAAGCGCCCCCAGATCATCCACAGAAATTCTAAACCTGTCCCTGGCCTCAAGATCGGTGGCTTTTCTTGAGATGGGCATTTGAAAAGATTTTTTTCAATTTCACTTATCAATTAAACGCACAGGTTCATATATGCAGCTTTTGAATTGTGCCTCGTTCTTGGTAGGGTCCACTTATCGAATTTTATTATTGTTAGGAGGCTTCTGTTTTTTTGAGAAGGAGGCTGAGCACAAGCAAAACTGTGAGGAAAAATTTCTACAAACGGTTAAATTGCCAAGCTTTCAAAGCAAACACGCAACATAAAATACATGTAACTAGTAGATACTCTATAACTATGGCGTACTGGGATACTCAGCCTCCATTCTTTTGGTTCATGTTCAGTGGTGGCAGAGACAGATTGTTGATTGAGGGCAATGACATCTGCATAGCTTGCGCTTGAGCTTGAGCTTGAGCACTCTGCTGGAAATCGTAGCCGAACATTGGATTCATGTACATGTTTTGTTGTTGTTGCTGCTGCTGTTGCTGCTGTTGCTGTCTGCTCATCGTCGCGTATATTTGATTAGTGTCCATCATCTGTGACATGTACATCTGTGAGTAATTTGGTGTCTGCGACGCCTCAGCCTTTATTTGTTGCTGCTGTTGCTGAGCTTGGCCGTTAGAATATCTTGCGCCTTGTTGTCCATTTACCTGGTTGACAAAAGTCATGTATTGAGTTTGGTCATTCATAGTCGCAGATTGTTGCGCCACATTTGGAGATGAAGAGTTCTTGTTACTCGGCTGCTGGCTCATCGAGCTTTGGGTCCCTGTAGATGCACTCGCAAGAGCAGGGTAAATGTCATCTGATTTGAACTGTTGAGGTTGCATAGCAACCATGTTCGGTTGGTAGTACAAGGCCTGTTGCTGAGGCATTTGCGATGCCGCTTGTTGTTGCACTGTCTGGACAGCCTGCTGTTGAGAAACAGATCCATTGGCAGTACCCACTGGCTGGGGGAAATATTGATTGCCGTTTAAGGCGAAGGCATACGCATGATTAGGATATTGGGCCATATAAGACTGCATGGCCAAGTTATGATTTCTTATTGCTTGTTTTGTGCTGCAGTGAGGGCAGTTCTTTTTACTGTTTCTTCTAGGAGTGTATTTGTATCCAGGGTATCTTTCTGCATGTCTTTTTTTCTCTTCCTCGGCCTGTTTATTCCAGTATTCTTTTTCTTCTGGTGGCAAGTTTCTCCATCTGCGACCCAGTTCTCTGGACACATCCGGATTAGTCCTTATCACGTTTCCTTCTTCTAACAGTGCCTGATGGTGCTTTTGTCTGAACAAAATAAAAGCGTTCCGAGGCCTAGGAATCCGGTTTCCTTCCTGCTTACAGGTACATTTTTCAAACAACTTGGAAGAGTCCAGCTGTGGCGGTTGGGGCGGAGGCGGAATCTGAAGAGCCTGCATCAGGTACTGCTGTTGTAGCTGCTGTGGGTACTGTATCGCTGCCTGCTGTGGGAACTGTTGCTGGACTGCGATCTGCTGATATTGTACAGGTATTTGAGATGGTTGAGGGATCGACATTTGATGCTGAGGCTGCTGGGAAAGCTTTTGATCATGCTGCTGAACATGGGTGATGGCATCGTTGGGCTCCGGCTTGTCCTGTTCTGGTTGAGGAGAGTTGGACCCTGAATTTGACTGGTGTGTGCTGGGAGAGTGCTGTTGGCTTGGAGGTTGTGTCTGGCCCGGAATGATGTGAGAAAGGGGCGGCAAGCTTCTCTTGCCATCCTGGTCCACTTGAAACTGTTCCATCTTTCGCGATGGTGTATGGAACTCTCTTGGGGTTTAAGAAAACCTTGTTTATATTATTTATTGTGAGACCAGAATTGATAAAAACTCTTTCTTTGTTTCTTTGTTCGTGTGTTTGTTTTATTCTCGCACCAAAACTTTCTGCCAACGTTTTCTTTTTTTCCAGCAACAAAGCATTATTAGTGGACGAGCAAGAATCTCGGTTTTACAACAATAGTTACTACAATAGACGTACAATAAAAAATGGTTACGGATCTGCGAATTTATTGGATGAAGGGCTGACCGTTAGATTCATGTATCAATGTAATAATCATAAAGTAGCGCTAACATATCCACGCGGGCTGACGTGCCAACTACAATATCTATCGGTTGATATCAGTAGTTGTGTCTCATCGGCAAGCCAATACCAAAATTAACGTATCTGAGTTTTGGTGCGAGGAGAGAAATTACTCATCCATTCCCGTGCTTCTGTACGTCGCCAAAAAAAATTGTATGATCCGGCAAAATCGCCATAGCACGTTGAGGCTGTTGCTAGGCCCTGGCCGTGCCCTATAATTTAGCCTAGGTACTCCTTGCTTACCCTGCCCATATTGCAAGGCGCATAATATCCAATGCCCTTCGACTATTGTCCCAACAGTGGTCTGGCCATCACCGTCATTGGCGAACACCGTCTGCGGACAAATCTTGCACATGACTGCTTTTTTCGGAACCCAAGAGTCCCAATTAGGAATCTTACTATTTCTTCAACAAAAGATATATTGTACGCCGACAATAAATTTGGCCTATCCACTACTGTTTATGTTTACACTTGGACGTTTTCATACAACTGTGCAGAGTTCCCCAGTCAGTCAGCACCTTGGACGACAACACTTTGTTTTTCTGAACTTGCTTTCGTTTTCTTCTTAATCAACTGAACAACAAGCTCCAAAACTTACCACAGTCATTCCTTATAACGAGAGACCCACTCTCACTTGTGCTACCGGAGTTTACCTTTACATTCATTCTTGAAAGAGCCAGAAACCTTAACACGTTGATCCACAACAACATTAATTATGCTTTACAAGACTTTTGTGCCACTCCTTTTGCTGTCAGCTTACACGAAAGCCGAGGAAACCACCACCTCACAAATCACCGTCACCGTGACGGAGACTTTGCTATCGCCATCTGAGAGCTCTGCTCTGTCGTTGTCGTCCGCCTCTGCTGCTTCTGCATCCGCGGCATCAGTTGCCAGTGCGTCCTCAGCCTCTGCTGCCTCTGCTGCTTCTGCTGCTTCTGCTGCCTCCGTCGCCGCTGCTTATGCTGCTTCCGTTTCTGAGGCCTCTGAAGCCTCTGCTTCCGCCGCTTATGCAGCCTCCCTTGCTGCTGAGTCTTCTGCTTCGTTGGAGAAGGCCAAAGGTCTGTTGGCCATCGCCTCTGCTGCTACTGTGAGCTCCTCCCATGAAGTTTCTCGAAGCTCCGCTCAATCCAGCAGAAAGTCGACAATGCCATCGTCGACTTTGAGAACGTCATATGTGAGATCCGCAGCACCATCCTCTTCAAGGGCTCCAATAAGATCCTCTGTGGCTCCTTCGTCCGCTCGCAGTTCCGCGGTCAAGTCTTCGGGCGTCAGCTCCTCCCTCTTGAGCTCCAGCTCAAAGACAGCCAAGTCCAGCTCCAGCTCTACTTCAGTCTCCACCCATGATGACGAAGGAACTTCCACTGTTGCTTCCTCCTCTTCTTCCAGCGCTCAAGCTAACGGAGTGGCTCCAATAAGTGGTCTCAGCTTCGGCGTGGCCGGAATTGTTTTGGCTGCTCTGATCTAGATTTCACCCTTGCTGCTTTCGATTTATGTAGTACTACGTTAGATACCGGCTAATTCTTGCTATGTATTATTAATTACCTTTTATCTTTATCACACATGAGTACAACGCGTTCCTGCCACCTTTTGCTCCGTCTATCCAGCGTCCCAGCCTATGCTCTTTTGATAATGACGCATATACCCGCACTTGCTCGTCTTCGAGATGGGCGCCAATCTTCGTAACCACGCCTTTTGCCCTTTCCAAGGTGCCGACCAGAACAAACTTGCGCAGATCCTTCTCCAGCTTCCAAACTTTAATCTCACCATTCCACGACCCAGAGAAAAAAACATCACTGTAAGGAACGGCATAAATGGAAGTGATCCAATAGGGCTGTGGTTTCGGCACTTGCAACTGTGCGTCTTCTAGGTTGCTCTCGGCGCTGGCCTTCCAGGGTTCCTTCTCTGGCTCGAGGCCGTGTGCCTGTCTCTCTGTATATAAAGGTTTCTTTTTGGCCAGAGACCATAGGCATACGTTGCCATTGTCTGACCCCGTGACAAAATGAGTGTCATCAATCATCGAGACACAATCAATGCTACCTTCCGCGTAAAAATCAATGCCCGCCTTTGGCGTGTCTCCGCCTCTGAATGTGAGTCTTGTCTCTTCAGCTATTTTCCATAGCATAGCAGTCCGATCTCGAGACCCCACGGTAACACATCTTTCTTGAGCCAGAGCAGCGATATCAGCAACCAAGTCCTGATGTCCATAAAGCGTTTCCAGCTGTGCTTGTTGATTGACACTGTAGGTTCTGATTTTTAGGTCAGCACACGCCGCATAGAGCTGGTCAGTATTTCGACGGAACGCCAGTCCCAAGACCTCTCCACGACGGTCGCGGGTCTCCAAAACTCGGATCGGAGCCAAATTTTCGCTGCTCCAAATAATAATGCGCTTATCACGACCTCCCGTGACAACATACTTGCCGTCAGGACTCACGGCCACCGTGAGTATCTCGTCACAATGTCCGTTGTTCATTTGCTCTTTTGAAATTTCTGTGTATTTGCGACCTCCTTTGACGAACTTCAGTTTGACAGGCTTTTTGTCTTCGTCTTCCACGTTCCACTTCGCAAGCTCCATGTCTTTCGAAACTGTGTAGGCATAAGGATACCGAACTGCAACCCCGGTCAATCCGATGCTGGGAACTCTAGCAACGGTTATCTTTGCCTCTTCAAGCTGCAGTTTGTCACCAATGAATTGGTAAACGTGACCCTGTTGCTCAGAGACATCTCTCTGCAACCTGGAAGCAATAATGTCATCGTCTAAATCCTTGGCATCAAAGTCATACACCTCAGCTTCTGCCTGTAATTCGCTCAAATACTGCTTCGCCATGCGTCGTCTTTTCTCTGCAGCACTTTCACCCGCGTGTTCATCTTCACTGGAATTGTCCTCTTCTTCCTCTGATTCAGCTGCAGACGATTCATCGAATATATCACTTTTCACTTCCTCCTCGTCTATATCGCTGGAGCTCTCGTGATCTTCTTTTTGTTTGGCATTTGAAGCTACTGCACGCTGTTTTCTGGCCCTCTCGGGTCCTCGCGATGGACGCTTTCTCTTCTTTGTAGGGTCCGAGAAAAACGAATCCGACATGATAGGTACATCTAAAATTTTTTTCCACTATTATATAGCAAAATTATTTTTTTATCGCATCCGTGCACCGATTTTAAAGATCTACTAACGCGTACAATTTGTTACACGAAACTTAGCATGGACTCGTTGAAGCAGGTCTTTGTCACGGCCGGAACAACGCTTGTACGCCATTCGCATGATGGCTCTAAGCTGTACGTGTGCACTAATTCCATCTTGAAGGTTTTCGATGTCTTAAACCCAGAGCATGAGCCAGAAGTGTTAGACATTCTAGAGAAAGTGAGCTCGTTCGAAGTGGGAGAGCTGAACGGCCACAGGTATGGCATTGTGACATCGAGAAGTGGAGTTTGTGAATACTATGACCTAGACTCTCTTCAGTCGATGGGAAAGCTTATTAGATCGCCGTTGAGCCTGAGAGACGCCGTGTTCACTCACGGGGGCTCGATGGTGCTCTGCGGTGGTTCCGACGGAGAACTGAAACTGGTGGCTCTTGGAGCCGACGCAAGCATTAAAGCTGTCAATACTGGCGACCAGGTGACGGCGATTGGGTATAACAACATTGGCGATCTGGCAGCTGTGTCTCTGTCCAACGGAGACGTTTCAATATACGCGTATTCCACTGCCGAGCCAGTCAAAAAGCATGTCTACACCAATATTACCGAGAAGCACAAGCTTTTGGATGACGAGGACGAAGACGAGGACGAGGACGACATGGACGACGCGTTTGCGACCCAGCCCCCAGAACCCAAGAACGTGGCTGTCGTGTGTGGTTGTGACTGGCACCCAGACGGTGATCTAATTGCTATTCCCACCAAGGACAAGGAGATTGAGGTGTACGACCGCACTAATTTTTCATCGCTGGAATTCAAGTTCAAGGGACAAGTCCACGAGAAGCCGCTGGTCGACCTGAAGTGGTCCCCCAATGGTGCCCATTTGGCATCTCTTGGTCAAGACAGGAAACTTATTATTTGGGAAACAGCTTCCAGAAAATCTCTCAAGGTGTATAGCTTGCCGGAAAACGGCTGCTCGCTGTCGTGGGGCCGTGGCGACGGCGATTTTGAGATTGTGGTTGGAACGGATCACGGTCACATTATCAAATACGAATCGGTCGTTCCTATGGAGGAAACCGGCTCAGGGAAGAGCAACGTGGTCGCTGACGAAGCCGATAGTGAGTCTGAGAGCGAAGTGACTGGGTTATTTGATGAAGGACCAGAAGACGACTTTATTGTGGATGACGATGGCTCAGGTTACGTTGAGAAAAAACGATCTCTAGACACAAATCAGCCGATAAAACACCGCAAGGTGGTCATTGAAGAGCCTGCTTATAGGCCTCTCTTTGAGATACAGCCTTATTCTCCAGGCGGAACGCCTTGGAACGGTAACAGAAAATATCTGACCATGAACTCCGTTGGATATGCTTGGACAGTCAAATTGGAAAGCTATAACACAGTCACAGTTAGCTTTTTTGATAAGGGGCTGCATAACGAGTATCATTTTAAGGATCTTTATGGATTCAACGTGGCCTCCATAACCGAAGATGGCATTCTTCTCGCTTCTGCCACCAAATCCAGGAAATCCACCATAATGTACAAGTCACATGACCAGCAGGACTCCTGGATCAGGACGCTTCTTCTGCAGCCTGGAGAGTTTGTTTCCAGTGTGACTCTTAGCAGGAACTCGATATATGTCGCAACTTCCCTTGGTTTTGTTCGCAAGTACAGCTTGTTTGGTCGGATCGAAAGAATCGAAAAAACAGCTCCCGTGGTTGCCTGTGTCAACAGCGAGAAGTACTTGTTCACGGTGACTTACAATTCGGGGTCTTTGAACTTCAACGTGCAGGATCTCGATGGAAAATACTTTCAGCGAAACGAGCATCTGCCGTTAGCCCTAGCTGGTGGATCCTACTCATCGTATCCCTTGAAAGGGGTGTTTTTCTCCCTTGACGGTGATCCTTGTGTTGTTGGATCTGATGAATATCTTCTAGTGCTAACCAGATGGAGAGATCCGTTGCAAGCTTCCTGGATTCCTATTTTGGACACCGCTGCAGGGGTCAGAAAGCTTGCTCTCGGTGACGATATCAAATGCTGGCCATTAGGACTCTTGAAGAACCACTTCAACTCCATAGTCACCAGAGGGTCGGATTATCCTTCGTTTCCGCTAGCCATGCCTTTGGAAATTCCCGTGAAGCTTCCAATCACCGGAGAAGACGAGGAAGAGGACCCAGAAGAAGAGCTGGTGCGACATATCACCTTGGGAGAATTGCTCAATGATGCAATACAAAACGACGACGTTGTCGACGAGACTGCACAGGAGCGCTTGGCTGACATCAGCGTCAAATACGATGCAGCGCTCCTCAAACAATTTGGACAGTCCTGTAACGACAGCAACCTCCACGACGCTCTTTATCTGGCTAGTAAGCTACGTGATGAGAGAGCTTTGCATGCAGCCTCCAAGATTGCCGAGCGGTTGCAACTAGTCCAGCTCGTCAACAAAATCACCAAACTCAGAGAAGCCAGACTAGAGTGGGATGAATAACCGGAATCAAACCAATATATATTAACCGTACTTAACGTCCCCTATTAATTTTATCAATGTCCTTCTGCGAGAGGACCAGTCCATTTCTAGTAGATTTTCCGACAGAATTGATTTTCAGACCACGATCTCTGATCCTTTTCTCCTTCTTTAGACCTTTTCCTATTCTTGTGCTGATCGAGGTGACCCCACGATCACCCAGCTGTCTGAACTCGTCTTTCTTTTTCTTCGCTAGCACAATTCCGGCTTCCTTTGCCTCCCGTTCATACTTTTCGATCTTCCGCACATGTGCCTTGATCATTCCCTTTCGCATATTCATTGGCATTTTTTCAAGCTTCTTTCGACCATCACCATTAACCTCTGCCACTTTCTGGATTCTGCTGTTCAGAGCTTTTACACGGGCGTTCCCCACTGGGTTTTCATGGTCCAGAGTCTGAAGTGTAAGATCTGCTCCCGAATATATACTCCCTCTTGTGTCTGCAAGTATATGTGACTCGCTCAGCAACCTTTCCAGTGCAATATCATTTTTTATGTCCTCTTCATCGGTCTTGGACTTCGATCCCTTCAGAAGCTGTTCCTCTTGAGCTTTTTTTTTGCGTTTCAGCTCTTCTAATGTAATCGGCCTACCGCTCTTCAATATTTTCTTGTCGTCTTTGGTTGGCACGGATTTAGTGGGCGTATATTTGTCCTCAAACTTAACGACTAAGGGAGCCATATTAAAATATTTTTTTGTGTATTTTTTTTCAATTTATTTTTCATGACTAGATACGTGGGATGCATCGATATCCACGGTGGAAAAGTCAAGCAGATAGTGGGTGGAACCCTCGAGAAAGACGATAAAGAAAACGAGGACCTGGTATCAACGAACTTCATCAGTGAGCATTCTTCTTCGTATTATGCCCAGATATACAAGAAACACAACATTGTGCGCACCCATGTGATCAAGCTTGGATCCCTAGAAAGCAACGACAAAGCTGCCTTGGAGGCTCTTCAAGCTTGGCCCAATCAGCTGCAAATTGGCGGAGGTATTAACATCTCCAACGCAAAATTTTGGATTGATAGCGGAGCCTCCAAGGTGATAGTCACCTCGTGGCTGTTCCCTGAGCAAGATCTGAACTGGAATCGCTTGAAAGAGTTGAGCACACTTATCGGACCAGAGAGGCTTGTCGTGGACTTGAGCTGCCGCAAGGTGGAGCGCCAAGGGGCAATATCATGGGTGGTAGCTATGAATAAATGGCAGACCTTGACCAAAACCGTGCTGAGCAGGAAATTGTTTGAAGACCTGAGCCAATACTGTTCAGAATTCTTGGTGCACGCCGCTGATGTGGAGGGCCTCTGTAATGGAATAGATCAGCAGTTGGTAGAGAAACTTGGCGAATGGTCGCCTATTCCCGTTGTGTACGCTGGTGGGGCAAAGTCCATTACCGATCTTGCCCTTGTCGATAGACTGAGCCGTGGAAAGGTGGACTTGACATATGGCAGCTCTCTTGACCTCTTTGGAGGTAATTTAGTGAAATTTGAAGAGTGCTGTGCTTGGAACGAGAACCTAGATGAATAAAATTAGGTATCATTTGTACGGTTTTAAAGTTGCTGTAACGTTCGCGATGCTTGTCACTACCCGAAGGCCGACCAATCTGCCAGCCTCATATGTCTTACGAAGCCAAGGACGGAGCAGCATGAGACCAAATGCGACAGCAAAACCCTGGACAAAGGGCATCAGCATCTGGTCTTTGATGATCGTATAGAGGACGAGCGAGGGAGTGATAATGGGAAGCGGGTCAGCGTCTGTGGTATGTGTTCCCTTCCGTTGCTTGGCGTAATTAAGTAGGTTCCGTCTGAAGACCTGCTCGAAGCGTAGGTCTGGGATATTTATCTTCTGTGCCATATGAAGGAGCGATGATGGGTTTTCGGTGTGCTTTTTTATATTTGTGGCGAAAAACAAAAAAAACTTAAATTCACCATGTCTGAAGAGCCACAGGTGACTATTCGGAAGGCAGGCCGAGACGAGGTCGACTTCATTTTGGGTGATGTTGATCTGTCTTTGGCAAACTCCTTGCGGAGAACGATGCTGGCGGAGGTGCCGACGTTGGCGATCGATTTGGTGGAAATTCTGGTGAACACCAGTGTTCTCGCAGATGAGTTTCTTTCACACAGGCTGGGTCTCGTGCCTTTGGAGAGCGAGGATATCGATCAACTGAAGTACACAAGAGATTGTACGTGTGAAGATCACTGCGAAAAGTGCTCTGTCACGCTGGAGTTAAGAGCCCATTGTGACTCCGACGAAACCATGAATGTGTACTCCAGCCATCTTACGATCGTGAGTCCGAACACCGGTTTGAACCTGGGCACCCCGGTGGTGAGGGATCCCGAAAGAAAGGGGGTTTTGCTGTGCAAACTCAAGAAACACCAACAACTGCATCTCAGATGCGTCGCTAAGAAAGGAATTGCCAAGGAGCATGCGAAATGGTCTCCGTGCGCTGCCATAGGATTTGAGTACGACCCATGGAATAAGCTCAAACATACAGACTACTGGTTCGAAGAAAGTGTGGAGGACGAGTGGCCCAAGAGCGCCAACTGTGAGTGGGAGGAGCCTCCTGTTCCCGGTGAAAGGTTCGACTACAACGCAAAACCCAATCGTTTTTACGTGAACTTGGAAACCACAGGACCGCTGAAACCGAATGAAGTGTTTTCCAAAGGTTGTATCGAGCTGCAAAAGAAAATAGCCAACATTGTGTTCGAACTTGACAAGTTAGACCAGCAACAGCTCCAGGCACAAGCCAATGGAGCCACAGCATATGCAGGACAGACGGTTTATGGTGGAGCCAATGGTACGACATACGGCGATGTTGTTGGCGGCGGACAAACTAGCTACGATTTTGGAACCGGAAGATGGTAAAATGTAATAGTTACGATAGAAAAATAAATAATTCTAAAATCTCAAAATAATTCTAAAATCTCAAATCTTATTTTTCCAACGTCATGTCGCAATATATTGGAAAGACTATTTCCCTGATCTCCCAAGCAGATATAAGATACGTTGGAATTCTTGAAAGCATTGATGGTACAAAGGGTACTATTGCCTTGAAAAGTGTGAGGGTTTTTGGAACCGAGGGTAGAATTCTTGATCCAAATAGAATTGTCTATCCCTCGACGCAAATTTACGAGCATATCATGCTTAGTGGACCTGATGTCAAAACACTCAACATTTTGGAGGTTCCGATTGAGCAGGTTGTTCCTGAACCAATTCCCATGTTTAATCCTGCCAACTTCTTCCCTCAGGGCCAGATGCCATTCCAAAGCCCTGGTCCTCAGCCAGGACAACCCGCTCCATTGCAGTCCCCTGTCCCGCAAATTCCACAGCCAGTTTCGCAAATTGCCGCACCGCAGATACAGCCATCGTTGCCACCTGTAGCTCAACAACCACCTCAACAACCACCTCAGCAGCAACAGGCTCAACAGCAACAGGCTCAGCAGCAACAGGCTCAACAGGCAGAAGAACAGCATCGCGCTCCAACTGAGAGACTGGCAGAGCCCAAGACTGCACAGTATACAGACAATAAATCTCCGGTAATGGAGTCGGCTGCATCCTCCAACTCTGAGGCCCAAAACAACGTTACCAAGCACTCTCAAAGCTCGACAAAGCCCCAGGCTCCATTTGGAGATGATTTTGATTTTGAGTCCAATAATGCCAAGTTTGAGAAGGAGGCCGAGCAGGAAAGTGCTGAGTCAACGTTCTACAACAAAAAATCGTCGTTCTTCGACAACATCTCGTCCTCCACGGAGCAAACAGCCTCCGATAGAATGAGATGGCAGGAGGAAAAGAAACTTAACTTGGACACCTTCGGGCAGTCTTCTCTTAGGCACAACAGAGGCAGAGGAGGCTACAGAGGCCGTGGAAGGGGTCGTGGAAGAGGAAGGGGAGGTCGTGGAGGATTTAGAAACCCAGAATGGGCGTAAATAATAAAACCTGTACAAGTAAATTGGTGGAAAATCACAAAAAAAATAACTAACTGATCTAGGTATGAGTTCTATCAGACCATTCTCGGCCACTGATCTTTTTGAACTCAACACGATCAACCTTGATCCACTCACCGAAAATTTCTATCTATATTTCTATCTCCAATACCTCTCAGAATGGCCTTCGCTATTCTACAAGGCGGTTTCCCCTTCTAATGGCGTGCAGGGCTATATGCTGGCTAAAACAGAGGGTAAGGGTAAAGAGTGGCATGCGCACATCAGTGCTGTCACTGTGAACCCAAACTATAGACGGATTGGTCTTGCCTCAACATTATGCTCTTCCTTAGAACGATTTACAGAGAACGAGCCATACGAAGTATACTTCATAGACCTCTTTGTGCGGTGCAACAACAAGTTGGCAATTGTGTTATATGAAAAGTTGGGTTACTCCGTTTACCGTCGGGTTGTGGGTTATTATGGGGACTACGAGAGTAAAATGAACAGAAATAAACTCGACGACGAAATTGATGCTTTTGATATGCGAAAGGCTTTGAAACGGGATATAAACCGAGAGTCTGTTCGTGCCGACGGAAGAAAATACAATGTGCTTCCTAATGAAATAGTTTTCTAGGATCTACCGTCCCTTTCCGCTGTTTTTCTTAACATTGTGCGTCAGCATGTGCCTGAAGTATGCTAAAAACCGATTTCCCGAGATCTGGCTCTCAGGGCTCAAATCTTGCACCTTGACCTTTGCGTTACATATGGGACACACTGCAGCGTATACATGGCCGATTTTAGCTGAGCTTTTGTTGCTCTTTAGCTCCGGGTGCAATCCAATCAGCTTTGGTAGCGGCATTTCTGAGCCGTTGCTAAAAACGCCGTGCTGCTTTGTCAGATGATGCAAGTATCCAGACGAGTTCAGGTCAAAGAACAGATTGTCAAAGTCGTTCTGATAGTCTTGTTTTGTTGGCTTGCAGAATGAACACAATCCTTCCCTCTTGTGTCTTTTGCAAGCGTTTTTCGAGCGCAGATACCTGAACACCCGTGGTTCATAAAAATTCACATTTTCAGTATTGGCAAACCTCACTAGCTGATTACTGGTAATGTTGGACTTCTTATTGATCTCATATGCCCATGGATGATCCATCTTGAGTTGAAGGTGGCCCACGAACAGCTCCGGACTAAGTTCATTTAGCGAGCAATAGGGAATAAGATGCATGTTGATCATTTTCATGTATTCAGGATCTCCTTTTTCGAACACCCTGATAAAGTCTTCCACAAGTGTACTTTTTCTGACCTTCCTACTTAATATCTCGCTTTGCGTGCCTGCAGGATATGTCTGATTAGACCGTCTGCGTTTTCGTTGCGATTCAGTTATGTTATCAATTTCCAAAAAGGACATTCTTCTCGATTCGGGCGATTCGGAGCAGTAGCTGTCAGGCATTTCTACCATCAAATCCGTAATGTCTGCTTTTTCAGAGGTATACGAGTATGAGTTCTCTGGAGTCGGCATGTAGTCCTCTAAAATATGCGAATGTGCAGGCTCTGAGTAGTTCCGAAACGAGTTGCCACCACCTATCTCTTCGAGCTGCTCGACCACAATGTCATCAGTCTCCAATAGGACGCTTAACAGTGGCATGTCTGGACTGTTCACTAGTGTGATATCTGTGTGCTGGTCGTTATCGACCCACGCGTCACTGGTGATGTCAGTTGGATCGACTGCTACCAAATCTCCAGCCAAGGGGCGTAAAATGTTCGGCCTAGAGAGAAACGCGTCATTTTCGATCACTTCCCTCTCGAAGATGTCCCGTATGACCTCCAGCTCCATACCGGAAAACACCCTTCCCGAATACATGAGCATATACATTTGTGCTCCTTATTAATAAATATCTAGATCTCAAGATCATTTTCTGTTCTATTGAGATTTGGGGAACAGAAAAAATGCAAGTACTTGTACATCGCGTAGGCACTATTGCCAAACACTGGCGACCCTATCGACGGCACCGCAGCTCACGATAGTCTCTGTGTCGCCCACGTCGGCTACAAAGGCAGATTTGATACGACCTTCGTGCGTCTTTAGTTCCTCAACCACAGACCCTGTTCCAACATCAAACCCTCTGACAACACCGTCGTCCCCAAATATCCAGACCCCATCCTTGTGGGGTCTTGTTCTCACAATGGGGTCAGAAAATTTGTCCTGGGGCGACATCGAATTAAAATTGGAGATAATAATGTTTCGTCTGATAGTGACGTTCGTCTGGAAAGACTCGCTGTCCGAAGCCAGCACGCTCGCCGCCGCAACTTTTGGGGCCACCTCAGTCTCTTCGACGCCTATGAGATCAGCAATCGTGGGGATTTTAAAAGTAATCAATCTCATGTAGGGAGTGTGATTGGTAGCTGCTACCACTGTATCATTCTCGGTTTTTGCAAATGCCATAGGATGAAACGAATGGCTAGAAAATTCAGAGTCGTTTAGTGCTACGCGCCCGATCTCAAAAATGCGATCGTGGATGGTGTACACTCCAACCATTGAAGTATCCGTGCGTCCCACAAGAATCACAGGATAATTGCTCGAGTCAGCGGTAATGAGCAAGCAACTTGCTCTCGTAAGCAAGCTCACCTCGTTCAGTTTCTCTGTGGTTCCGTCCTCAAGATTGACTCTGGTGGCCACCAGTTTTGAATCCCATCCAGTCGACACTAAAAAGCCTGTTTTCCGGTCCATTTTCTGGAACTTCATTTGGAGAACGAGTCTCTTATGCAGTTGTTTTTCGCTTAAAAGCTCCAGCTGAAGCTCGCTGTCGTATCCAGCTCTCCAGATCCTTAATTTCCCATCCATGCCGCAAGAAAAAAGCAAGTCGCTGCCGTCGACTCCTGCAACAAGTTTTGTTGCCGTCAGTCCATGGAGGTCGTTCTTGACTAGTATGTTTCTGCGCTTCTCCAGATCAAAAAAGTGCACCTGTTTGTTATTGGTCACAAATAGTCCTAAAGACACACTTTTGGAACCGATCTCTAGCTTTACAAAGCATGAGGATATTACAAGTGACTTTAAAGTGCCCAAGTCCAACAGATCATGTTTCTTTGGCACATCAACGGTCCACAAAGACTTGGTGTTCTCGGACTCTGGCTTCTCCAAAGACAAATAGGCAAGTCGGTCTTTTAGAATTGTCTCCAAGGATTCCTCGACTGAATAATAATCGAACTTCCTATTGAGCTCCAACTCGAACGCTGCCAAAGTGCGTGTGAGGTTGTTGGTCTTGAGATAGTGCGCTATCAACTGTTGTGCGGCAGACATTGAATTATGTGAAAAGGACGATCGACGCGACTAAGCTACGAGTAATACAATTTTCGAGATCAAGATTTAGACGCGGCCTTGATTTTGGGCGTGCAGGCATCAAAGTTGGACTTGAACTGCTTGCATGAAAGAGGTGAACGATGCCCATTTACTTGGCAAGAAAGATCGCAACTGCACCGGAAGTAGCTACATCTGGTTAATGCCTATTAGCTATTCTAAATGTGGTGCACGGATGTAAACTGGTGTCTATCTACAACGGAGGCCAATTTTATTTTCGCAGGAGAGGTTTTTCACGTGACTGCTGGTAGGGCTGATCTCGTACCCTGGAGCCTACGTTAAATAATTTTTCTGAAAATTTGCAACTCCATCACTAACTTCAATCATGGGAAAAGGAAAGCCTAGAGGACTCAACTCCGCCAGAAAGCTGAGAGTGCACAGAAGAAACAACAAGTGGGCAGACAAACAATACAAGTCCAGACTGTTAGGAACTGCTTACAAGTCCTCCCCATTCGGTGGATCTTCCCACGCTAAGGGTATTGTTCTCGAGAAGTTGGGTATTGAGTCCAAGCAACCAAACTCCGCCATTAGAAAGTGTGTCAGAGTGCAGCTGATCAAGAACGGTAAGAAGGTCACTGCTTTCGTTCCAAATGACGGTTGTTTGAACTTTGTGGACGAGAACGACGAGGTCCTCCTTGCTGGTTTCGGTAGAAGAGGTAAGGCCAAGGGTGATATTCCAGGTGTCAGATTCAAGGTCGTCAAGGTTGCTGGTGTCTCCTTGTTGGCTCTCTGGAAGGAGAAGAAGGAAAAGCCAAGATCTTAGGTACAAAGAGCAATAAGACATAATAAAGACTGGTACAGACATGATTGTAGAAGCAGTATATTATAGTTACATAGCCAAGCCACGGCCTTCGATAGAGACGCCTCCCTTCTTGGTGCTCTTTTTTTTCTGGCTTAGCATCGCGAGTCTCTGGTTGAGTTTCTTGAATCTCTCGTCTCTGCTCAGAGATGACCCAACGCCCATTGCAGCAACACTGTTCTTTTGCTGGCCAATGGAATTCAAATTCACCTGAGGCGCCACAGTGTACACACTGGTACGGGCCTCTGGTGCCGCAGCACGCTTTCTCCTGTCTGCGCTTTCCTGATAAAGAGACTTGCGAACTGGTTGCTGGGGTTTTGGTGTAGGAGACATGCTCTGCAATCTGTCCACATCCACAGTGACGGTCTGCACTTTCTTCGCTCTGTAATTGTCTGATCTGCCCATGATTGGTCTGGTCCAGTCACCAATGAGCTTTTCGGCCATTCGCTTCAGCGAGGGGTCCACTTTCTTTGACTTTTGATAGAATAACATCACTTTACCCAAACCTGACTCTCTGAGATGGATCGTTTTGATTGGAAGTTTTGTAAGCTCGCTAAAGAGCGTCTTCTGGATTTCAAATGCAGGAAGTGAAGCATCGGGAAGCGGTTCCAGCCAGATTCGCACGGCCTCCAATAAGTTGTTATCGAGAATCGAGTCGTACAAGTTCGATTTTAAAAGAGTATCCTTGACTTGAGGTAACAGTTTGAGCTTGTGCGTGGCAGGCCGCTTGTTGTTGACACAGTCAATGTCTAACTCGGCGGCATCTTTCATCATGTTCTTCAAGTGGGCAATGGCTTCGTCCTGCATCGCCTCCAAATCCACCTCGTCGTTCTTCTTGCGCTTGTTGGGTTTCCTAAGCACCGCAGCGAATTTCTCTTCGAACTCTCTTCTTTTCCTTGCCTGTTCATCCTCCTCTTCGATCTCTTCTGGTGGGGGAACTTCGGTGTCGTCTTGTGGTGCGCCCTTGCTGCGCTTGAGCTTTTTGTTTTTCGGTTTCTTCTCAGGTTCTGCCTCCTCGCTACGTTCGCGCTTGTGAGCTTCGAGCTTGTTGATGTCCTCCTCCAGATCTGGAGCTTCTGTCCTGGTAGGTTCTGGTGCCTCGACAGAAGGAGCACGGGATTCCCCGGCGGAAGATGCTAGCTGATTGGTGTCGCCTCCTTCGTCCATTTTTTTATTAAAAAAACCGTGCACAGATATTTTTTTAATAAAACTTTTATTTCACCATGGATGGATTTTCTGAAGAAGACGCTAAGAAGTTCAAGCAAATGCAAAACGAGGCCACTTTCAAGCTAGCTGCCGTCATTGCTGTTGGTTTGTGGCTTGTCCCGACTGCTGTCCATTTTGTGAGAAAGGCTTTGTAAGAAAATTGCTAGATGCATCTGTATATATGGGTGATCAATGACTATGGCTGATAGGATGTTAGTATGACACAAGTGTATTCCACCACTTTGCAAAGGTTGATGTCTAGTTTTTGCTTGTCCAAATAGGCTCCATTTATGTACATTTGACAATGATATGTTGTTTTGCCCATCAGCTACGGTAGACAGTGGCTACCGACTGTTTGGTATTTGCCATCGCCATTATTTTGAAAACATCTTGGATCTACGACCGTTGTCTTTTGTTTGTTTACCGATAATCTCGTGTGCTGTCATTTTTGACATCTCCTCTCCATGTCCTAGCTTCTAATATTAATTATCCGTAGTTATAATAATCCTAATATACACTTATAATACATCTGCGCTGTAAATTCCATATCGTTTGACATCTGTGACAGAGACGCTTCTGCAACCACAGGATGCCTTCTGATCATCTAAATGCGCTTTCTTTCCCTCTAAATTCACCAATCCTAGCACACAACATTTTTTCCTGTCGTGTCATTGTAGCTCCTTGTCCAAGAAACTGTTCAGCTTTTGCACCAGTTCCAGCTGGACTTGAGGATTGGACCCGGAGGCCTTGGAGGCCTTTGCAAAGCCCAACTCTTCTAAGATTCCCTTGATGCGTCCATTCAGGTACCTATCCTCCTCGGTGTGATCAAATGCAACTGTTTTTGGGTCATTCAAGAGTTCCTTCATGGATTCCACTTTGTCATACATATATTTTACCTCGTTGATCAGAAATTTGTAAGTTTCCCTCAGAGGGGTTAATTTCTCGAGGATGGTGCTGGTTTCGCCCTTTAGAGACTCCTCTGATTTCAGGTCGATGAAAGACAGCTCTGCTTTGAGCTTCTTCGAGTAGTCCAGAAGCTGACTGAACTTGGAGAGCATTTGGTTCAGAACCTTGTTGGCGGCGATTTCAGCCTCCAGCTCGCGCACAAGTCGCTCGTACTCAGAATCCAATCTTTGTGCTTCCTCAGATATATTATCGCGTATTTCCATCCCACGATGGTGTTTCAGTCGCACAAATCCTCCTGCGACAAGGTCCGCCGGTATGTTCAGTATATTTCTCATCGCATACACCTCAAACTTGTCAAAGTTTTTGTTGATCACATGCTCCATCAAAGATTCTAGAGTGGCTGTTCCCTTCTGTATGTCTTCCACGGTGTAGCTAAATCCCGTAGTAGTTTGTTCTCGTATTTCTTCCTCGTTTACTATCACGTCGTCATCATCGTTGTGCGACTGCAGGATGCGCTCTTGCTGCTGTCTTCCCTCCTCCTCTTTATCGAATTTTTTCTGGATCAAAGCCAGCTCCAATTGCTCTGTACATCGATACATAATTTCGTTGATCATGTTGATGATGTCGTCAATCACAGAGATAGGTTGAAAACCAAGATGCTCCGTCAGGAGCTGCGAAGCAAGCATCTCTGCCGACTCGTTGCTCATGTTGTTTATTTTTTGTTTTGAATAACATTTATTCTACGTGTGGCAGTTAAATGTGGCTGGTACATTTTCCAAAAAATGCTAGTGCTATGTTATATCAGTCTTCATCAGAACTCAAATCGCCGCCAACAACCTTGTTGTCCTCATCATCGTCGTCATCGTCGTCCTGGTCATACTGCGGAACCTCGGTCTTATCATCGGTGTTGTCCTCGTCGTCCACGATAATACCCTCTGGCTCTTCAAATTTCTTGTGCTTTCCGTCTCTCACAACAGGCTGGCTCTCCTTATCTGAGCCAGGCTTCACCAGAGTACCCTCCATGGAAACGACTTTACCTGCAGCGTGCAAGGCTTTAATCGTAAAGCGAATCTTTCCCTCGACAGGAACACCGTTTTCATCCACCCATTGACCAAGGGACTTGCCAAACTTTCCGGCATCCCCGTCGGCGTTGAATTCATCCACCTGGTTCGGTATGTACTTCCATTCTGGCGGGATCCCTCCCTTTTTAATCGTTGCATTGAAGGTGTCGTTGATAAGAAGACCAATGTGAGATTGCGATTGCATGTACGACCAGCCTTCAACCACATCACCCACCTGTGGTCTCCAAACCAACAGCTCGGCTGTACACCACAAAAATGCAAATGGATTGTCGTTAGCGATCTTCGCAACGGCGATCTCCGTCCCATCTTCATCTTCAACCACATTTTCCGAGGCAAGTTGCACATTGTAGTACCCCAGAAGAACACCCTTGGCAAAAGGAACATAGGTCATAAGCATATGGTCGAGATGCTGCTGTTTGATTCCATTGATTGGCGAGTTTATGTGGCATGGAGCGAGAGACAAATAAAGCCGGGCTTTCACTTTATGGAAACACTTCGACAGCCCAGATTCATCAAGAGGATTTGTGGATTTGTGAGATATTACGTTGTACATGTCTTTTGCCGCGCGCGAGCTGCCAGAGAATCTCCTCTTCACCTCAATAGACATGTTGAATATTCTATTTGAATTGGAAAATTTTTTTTAGAGCCGCACCGCGATAAGGCAGGAGTACTATAGTTCAACGTCTTTTGAAGAGCTTAGTCAACTTTCGTGAAGGGCCAGGAGATTCCGGAGAGTTGATCACACTCATCATAGAGAACTTTCCGTTCCCCTCCACAGGAATGCTATTCGCGTTGACCTTGCTGAACCCTTCAAATTCTCCTCCAATCATAGAACCCTGAAACTTCCGGAACGCCAATCCTTCTTGGGAGTTGAGTTGCTTGGTTCTGTTTCGGAATTGCGGCTTGTACGACGACCATTTCTGCCGCATCTGCTTTTGCATTTGCTGTGGGGTCGGAGCGTCTTCATCCTCGCTATATTCGGGTACCCCTGTAAAGCGTACTTTCTTAATCGCTTCTCCATTTGCATCAAACTGAGGCGACGAACTCTCAGGAACGACCAGCACATTTCCCAGATTCTGCGGAGGACCATTTTGGCGTGTAGACGAGGCCCGCGAACGAGTCTTTACCGAGGAATTCTCGCTTGTTTTGTTAGGCGAGTTCCGTGTAGCAGTGGTGTCTGCCTCGTGACTTTTTGTAGTTTCGTCAGCTTCCGGAATTGTGCTCACTGGCCTTTGCGACAAGCTGCCAGATCTACTACGTGGCGCTGAATTCGACGGAGATGCACGTGCGGCCGCGATATTCGCTGGTGACTCCAATGGTTCGTTCCCTTGCAATGACCCTGATCGAGATCTGCTTGTTTGGATTTGTAAATCAGGAAAGTTGCTCTGTTTGAGAGAATTTAGCGGGCTGGTAGGGAACTCAGCATCGCTTTGCAGCGAGTTGCTTCTGCTTCCCGAGTCATCCAGATGTTTTGCAGGCGACCCATTTAATTGAGCATAGAGTGACCTTGGCCTTGGTTTGGATTCGATTCTTTTCGCAATGGCTTGTCCATTCTGCGATGATTTCATGATATGCTGCTGGAGTCTCTGCTGGGCAGTTAGCGGGGGCTGGGTCGATTTTTTAGAGGCCAATGCCGCTGCTCTGGCATGGTCAACTGGCGAACTTGGGGGCTTTAATAGCTTTGTCTGTGGATGGGAAACGGGTTTTGAGGATGCACCACCCCCAGCTGTGGTCGAGTTCATAGTTGGACTGTGGAATACAATTAGCCGAGAGGTAGGCTCTGCTCCGGTTTCATTCTGCTCTGGAATCGTGCGGTGCATCTCGGGAGTGACCATTTGAGAATTGTGCCTACTTGAAGTGGATTTTGACCGACGAAGGGTGAAATCGTCTTGGTTGCTTTGAAGACTAGAAGTCCGCGAGCGCGAAATGGAAGACTGTCGAGACAAGGAGTTTGGAGACGACCTGGTGGATCTCAACTCTTCGCGCAGCTGTTTTTCACGTTCTCCCACTTTCTGCCGCGTCTCTTCTGCTTTTTGCTGTTCCTGGTCGCTTGAATCAGCCTGTTGCGTAAATTTCGGTTCTCTGGCATCTAAGAAAAGCTCCTTGTGGGATTTTGACTGTTTTTCCACATCTGCCTTGAACTTCTCTGGCGATATGTGCATAGCTTCCATGTTTTTGCCAAGTTGGGCGTTGACTTGCAACCTTTTTTGCTCATTTTGCTCTCTGATTGTCTGCTGTTTAAGTTTCTGTCTCATCTGTTCCCTGTCGAACTCATTAGAGCGATTGGAATCGATAATCGTTTGCCACTCCGCCTGAAACCTTTTTAGGACAAGGATCATCGTACTTAGCATGCTGTGCGCATCGTCGCTGACCTTATACAGCTCAAAGATATTATCAGGACGAACCACCATCAAGCCTCCGTTTCTCGTCATTTTCGTTATTGCAGCCAATAGTAGATTGTTCTTCTTTGACTGGTTGAAATAAACTTCAAAGTTCCTCATCACCGCTCTAAGAGACTCGCTTGTGCGCGCGTAGTTTTCAAAGTAGAAGCTATTGTTATGATATAGGACTTTTCCGAATTTGCGGACCACACCATAAAAGTCAGCAAGATGCAATATGAGCAGCAGCGATCTATGAAGAATGAATTTATAATGCGGTGACGAAAGCAGATTCTCTTTGACCTTGCATCTGCCAAGAGCATCAATGCGATCTCGAAAGGCATCCATGGCTAACTCAAATTTAGGCAAGTTGACGTTCAGGCTTTTAAGGTCAAAGGAGCGGAGACATATGTCGGCTTTAGCATCGGCAAATGTATTCTCTGGCTCATCGTCAACCAATAGCTGCATGGACTGTAGCTCTGGAAAGTCCAACATGTCTGCAATATCATCCAGTGTGAACAGTGGCCTGTCTTTCTTTGCTTCCTGAGAGGATCGTTCGTTCATGGCAGTTTTCCACTTGTGGTCGTATATCTCAAAAGTATTAATTAGCAATAGCTCTAACAGCTTTAGAGTGTCCAGACATTGCCGCACTGTCGGCAACTTCAGTCTGGTAGTATCATAATTGGTGGAATTGTCCATACAGTCGAAACTGACTGGATTGGTGTTGGGGGAAGACTCTATAGATTGGGCGGGATTGAATTTGTTGCCGTTGATCAAGATCTCAGATCGTCTGTATATATTATCATTGACGTTGAATATACACCCATTGAGCACTATGATGTATTTTGTGAAAGCAATCTTTTTTTCTTGGGAGCAAGTCTTGACGAGGGATTTAACGTTTTCAATGAGCTTGAGTATTTTTTGCGAGGCGTAGCGATATTGCAATATACGCGCATCAAGAGAGTCTATTGGGATGCACTCTTTGAGAGAAGGAGCTGGCAGGCCCGACTGGCTATTTATTGATGGAGTCGGCGAGTGTGTACTCATTACTTGCCAACGCGTTTATCTTATCAGTAAGCCAGTTGTGTAGTGCAAACAAAATGCACTAAAAGGCTATTTCAGCAAATATCAACTGTAGGTCTTTGGAAACTAAAGGAGACGCGAATGATATCAGTATTCCAGCGGAAATTAACGGTCAAAAAGTCAAGTTTTGATGCATCTAGTACATAAGCGAATGATATAGTTTTACTGCGTACGATTTTTTACACAGCCCGCAACTCTATATACACATTTATTTGGGTTTCGGGCTCCCGTTCGTTAGCCATTTCCAAATGAGGTCCTTTTGCTCAGGGGTGCTTCTAGACCTTTGCTTTCTAAACCTTGCAAACAGCTGGCCTCTGATTTTGTCGTCCAATCTTTTAGTCTGCTCTGTGGTTGTGATGTTCATTTTCTGCACATTTTTCAAGCGACGGAATGAGTTGACCACCATGGCAGCTCCTGCAACCATGCTAAGGAACACCACTGCTCCAAATGCAACCTCTGATTCCTCAAGGTAGTTTTTGAGGTTCATTCCATAAAGGGCTGGAGCCAGCGTCGCAACCGTTGCTCCCATCGTATAGATCGATATTTTCAGCTCGAAGACCATCAAGGAGTTGCGGTTGGCGTCCAAGATGATATTAACAATTTCTTCGGTCGATTTAATGTCGTTAATAAGAGTCTCTGCCTGTTGCACTATCTCGTCACATTGCTTGTAGTAAGACTCCAAAAGCATTTCAATTTCGCCTGTGTCGAGCTCGTCCATAGACGTTCTCACAGAGTCATGGTGGTTGCCTCCGTCTCCGTCGATTCTCATTTCTTCTTGACGGAAAGGCCCACCGTAGACACTGTGCTCGCTCAAATACATGCTTTCCAGATCATCATCGTTATCCAGCAGCTCATCCAGAACGTTCTTAATCAGCAAGGATTTCTGATAGAAGGTTGTAAGTTTCTTGGAGTTGACCAGCAAGTCTCTCAATTTCTCTCTGTCGATCTCTGTGTCCAGGTGATTAAGGATTTCGGTACAGACTTTCAGATGCTGTCGCAGCTCTGTTTCGAGCACTGCCATGACGTTAATAAGGATGCTTTCCAGCGCACGGAACTCGTAAGACTGGCTCACGTTCGTTGTTCCGTGGACCGTCTTGACCTTCAACTTGGCCTCTAGGTCGTACATAAATAAACTGAGTTTCGAGGCCGCTTCCGAGTTGGCTGTATCAAAAACCAGCACAGAATCAGCCTTCACCAATGCCTTGATATGCAACAAATTGATTAGAATGCAATTAGACCGCACCGCAATGATCGGCGCCACATCGACGTTTGAGGAGTCGATCTTGCGCAAATCTCTCGGGAACAGTCCGTTTTCATGAAGGAATTTTGCCTTTGGGAAGCTCTTCGAAACTGCCACAACATTTCCGTTCGCATCGAAAATCGTGCAACTCACGTCTGAAGAATCCGGCTGTATGGTCTTGAGCACTTTCGCTAAGTCTCGTGGGGTTTTCTGAAAATGACGAGATCTGAACTGTACCGGGACCAAGCCAGGTTTTCGAGATAGAATATCGCGTGATATATACCATGTACCATGGAAAGTGTTCAAAAGCCCCATTCTGGGCAACACCGGCGATGTGTTGGCACCGAAAACTGGCCTTATCCACCTCCTCATTGAGACTAAATTTAATAAAAATTATCACACCCTAGACCTACACTATCAATATTTAATCGTCTACACTGTCAATCGAAGAACTTTCTGCTAGGAGAGACACCGAATAACTCGAGTCTGAGGGCCGGAAGAGCGGTCTTTGATAGCAAAGCCAGTCTTTCCTCGAGGGTATTGTTGACCTCAATCTTTCCCGTTCCGTTTATGATGATGCAGCCGCCAGCAGAGTCGTCGTTCAAGTAAGACGATTCGTCGATGGAGATGGACACATCGATGTTGGACTTTTCTTTGAAGTCCTTTGCAGCCTCTTCGCTGACCTTTTTGGCCAGCTCAACGTCCGCCTTTCTCACCCTCACGGCGACTTTTGGTTCCATAAGTGCATATAATCCTTCCTCAATGAGTAATTTCAGAATGTTTCCGTATTTACTGGAATCGTGCGACAGCTTAACTAGCGCAGCCTCAGCCTCCTTGAAAATAGTGTCCAGGGCCTCTTCCTTGGTGGCGAGAATCTTGAGTCTCGTCTTGTTGGCAATAGTGGACTTGGTGATTTGCTGTGCCAAGGATGCTTTCTTGAATTTAGACTCGTATTGGGAGTCAATGGCGTTCATTTCTGACCGCACAATGGACGCTTTTTCGATCTCGTACTCTTCGTCGGCCTTCAGCTTGATCTCTTTTGCCTTTTCTTCAGCTTCCTTGGTGATGAATGCTTCCATCTTTAGGAGCTCACCTTGAACCTATTCTGTTAGCCTTCGCGCGACTACAAATCTCGACAACATACCTGATCCTCTGTAAGTGCACGGGTGGACGCCATGGTAACAAGATTATTCAATTGCCGTTGTTTTGTAGATGTATCTATTACTCTTGACAACTATGAATTTAAGCAGCATCTGAAAAACAGTAGCACAAAGATCGCGGTACCTGTGCGTGGTTCATATGCAAGACATAAAAAAATATAGGTCAAATAAATAAGGCAAGACCAAAACGGTGCTAGTCTATCCGCGGTGCGTCCTGGTGCTTTTTGCTTCTAATGTTTCGATCGCCGCAAAGAAGACTACTCTCTGTGCGACCCAGAATCAATCCAGTGGGGATTCAGCATCTCTCTGAAGAATTGCAGGAGCAGCTATTTCCTGACTCCTATAAACGAGGCAATGAGCGCCTCACGAAGCACAATGCAATATTGATTAAACTTGCCCATGAACATCTTAGGGCCAATCAGCTTCTTGGCAAGAAATGCTCCATTTCAGAACCTATCAAATTCGAGCTTCCAAAACTTCAAGGCCATAACCTTGCGGAGCATTTTTATCGTTTAGGCATGGACAGTTTGAAGCCGTACCAAGATATCATAAAAGAAATCATGAACATAGGACGCACTGTACAGCCAATGCCAAAAGTGTGGCTATTCAAAAGCGGATGGACAAGATACGCACCTGGGAAAAAACCTGAAGCTGTTCCTTATCCCTTAGAAAAGGGCCTAATCTACGATGTCGAGGTCTTATACAAAATCAGTAAATACCCCGTTATTGCAACCGCGTATTCCAACAAGGCGTGGTATGGATGGGTCTCTCCTTATCTGACAGGTGAAAGTGATATCCTTGATGGCCATTTGATACCCATGAACGTCCAAAACGAGGAAAAAATCATCATTGGACATAATGTTTCGTATGACAGAGCGCGCATATTGGAGGAGTACGACCTCAAGCAATCAAAAGCTTTCTATCTGGATACCATGTCGTTGCATGTTGCAGTGAGTGGAATGTGCTCCCGACAAAAAGGAAAATGGATGAAATATCACAAGATGAAGGACGAGGAAAGACAAAAAGAGGGAAGCTTGATGAAATTCAGGGACGAAGTGGAATCCGAGTCTCTCAAAGAGCTTATAGACAACCCAAACTTGGATGCCGACGAAACTCTGAGCTCGTTTCTCGAGGACGACCCATGGTTGCGAACCAGCAGTTTAAACGGGTTGCAGTATGTTGCTCATCATCATTGTGGTATCAATATCACTAAAGAAACACGAGATCAATTCTCGACCACTAATCCTCAGGAAATCATTGACAATTTCCAAAAGCTAATGGAATACTGTGCCACTGATGTGGTAACCACATACAGGGTTTTCTATAAAGTGTATCCAGAATTCAGAGAGCTGGTCCCTCATCCTGTTAGTTTAGCAGCATTGAGACACATTTCACAATCATTCCTTCCGACTAACGAAGCTTGGGAGAAGTACATCACGCGGACAGAGCAGATGTATCAGGATAGCGTTGAAAAGATTGAAAACAATTTGAAGAAAATGTGTGAGCAGGTTGTGTCTTTGAAAGATGACCCTTCACAGCCGTGGCTAAATGATCCATGGCTGTCACAACTAGACTGGACCATAATCCCGCCGAAACTGACGAAAAATGGAACCCCCTACAAGAGACAGAAAATGCCTGGTTATCCCGAATGGTACAAAAAATTGTTTTCTAAAGGTAACATGACCTTGACTCCCAAATCCAGAGTGACACCGCTATTGTTAAAATTGTCTTGGGAGGGAAAACCAGTTTACTGGCTAGATAGCAAAGGGTGGTGCTTTCTCGTTGATAAAGGCGAGGAGGAAAAGTACAAGAAGAAGAACTACACATATTTGGAGCCATCAAGGATAGTGGAGGAGGGGTTGGCCTCGAATCCAGACTTCCCAGAATTGTTGCAAATCAAGTCTTTCTTCAAAGTTCCTCACGAGGAAGGACCTGAATCTCGTACGACGACCTTAATGTCCAAACCGTTTTTGCGGTATTTCGAGCAGGGCATTTTGTCTTCGGAGTATGATCTTGCCAAAGATGCACTAAATTTGGCCGTTCGAAACAGTTACTGGATCAGCTCCAGGGAGCGGATCATGAACCAATTTGTTGTTTACAAACAGGAAGCAACAGACTCCAAGATCGGAATGATCATTCCACAAATCATCCCAATGGGAACCATTACCAGACGTGCTGTTGAAAACACATGGCTGACAGCCTCCAATGCTAAGAAATCGAGGCTCGGATCTGAGCTGAAAGCCATGATCCAATCACCTCCAGGCTACTGTTTCGTGGGAGCAGATGTTGATAGTGAAGAGTTGTGGGTGGCTTCCTTGGTTGGAGATTCCGTTTTTAAAATACACGGCGGAACGGCGATTGGGTGGATGACTCTGGAAGGTACTAAAAGTGAAGGCACGGATCTTCATTCGAAAACAGCAAAGATTTTAGGAATATCGAGAAACGACGCAAAGGTTTTTAATTACGGTCGTATCTACGGTGCCGGAGTGAAATTTGCTACCTCTCTGCTGAAAAAGTTCAACCCAGCAATTACGGAAGCCGACGCCAGGAAGACAGCCTCTGAACTTTATGCTGCTACCAAGGGACAAAGTCAGACGGTCAACAAAAGGAAAATGTGGTTTGGTGGGTCGGAATCCATTGTTTTCAATAGATTGGAAACTATAGCAGAACAGGATCATCCAAAGACTCCAGTACTTGGTGCCGGAATCACTTCTGCGTTACAGAAAAAGAATCTTCATTCCAATACGTTTCTTCCTTCGCGAATCAACTGGGCGATCCAATCTTCAGGAGTCGATTATTTGCATCTATTAGTGGTATCCATGGAATACCTTCTGAAAAGGTACAAAGTGGACGCAAGGTTATGCATCACTGTGCACGACGAGATTCGCTACATAGTGAAAGAGGAGCAGAAGTACAAATGTGCAATGATCCTCCAGATAGCCAACTTGTGGACACGTGCAATGTTCTGTCATCAGCTAGGTATTGATGAGGTTCCTCAGAGTTGCGCCTTTTTCTCCGCCGTGGACATTGATCATGTTTTGAGAAAAGAAGTCGATCTGGATTGCTGTACGCCTTCAAACCCAACTGCAATTCCACCGGGAGAAGCGTTGACGATTGTCGATCTTTTGGAGAAGCCCGAAATCCAAGAGTTTTTAGCATCCATCGAAGAGGTGGACCTGAGCCAGTATGCTGTTCCCAAGATTGTGAAACCAAGTGACTTGCTTGACCAGGACCTGAAAGGTCCCAACAAATCACTTATGATCAAACTTCAGATAGCCACGAGTCTTGATGAGTTCAAAAAGATTAGAAGGCTATTCACTAGCAACATGAGACGCAGTAACACAAAGTTTATGGAAAATCATCAACGAGATTTCGAGAAGTTTGTGATATCAGGCGCAACTCTGGGTGATATGGGTGAAGCCCTTACAGAAAAAGCTCTCAATGATATAGACTTTGAATTTGATGTCTCACGAAAAGAGAGATCATCGAAGTCGTCAAAATCAAGGAAAACCAGCGCCACGCAAGCACGAAGGAAGCGAAAGGAGTCACAGAAGATCGCAGACTCCGAGCTATCGAATGAAATGTTTGACAACTACTTCAACTTTCATGTGGACAACATCGCCTCTTATAAATCAAAGCACCACGCTATTCAAGTGTGACGTGTTTTCTTGAATTACATAGCTTTTTCGAAAGCGATCGCGTTTTGTAATTTTCGTTTTCTTTCGAAGTAACGTTTGCGATACTGTTCAATATCGTCAGGAGTCAATCTCGAGCTGATTAGTTCTTGTATGGCCTTCTGAAGAGATCGCGGAGAGGTTCCGTTTACCGAATTCCGTGCTACCGATTCGGGAGATTTTTCAGTTACATCAGTGGGGCTCGAATGCTCAAGAACTGAATTCAAGTTGATTGGCTTACCAAGTTTATCGGCAACCTCTTGCCTATGCTTTTTGTACGAATCGGAAATGAAGACTTCTGTGGCTTCCATGTCTTTTTTCAGTAGTTCATTCTGGCGCTCAATTCTCTCCTGCTGCTGCTCCAAGCGTTCAAGTTCTCGTAGCTTTTTGCTCTCAAGCAGCTTATTAATGTATTTAGGTTTTCGAGCCTCTTTTGTTGCCTGCTGGGTAGGTTTCTTTAGTGTTTCGTAGACTTCGTCATACTGGAACTCCTCTGACTGCGGAGACAACTTTTCCTTCCTTACATATTCCCTCGACTTTTGTTCGGTGTCGTCATCGGAATCCTCACCGAAAGCAGATGCATTTTTCACCTTGACTTTGCCTAATCTCATTAAAACCTCTAATTTCTTATCGAGCGACGCGACGTTTTTTCCAGTTGATCAAGAAAAAAAAGAACCCTAGACAAAACAGAGTTGTCTTTTTGGCATTAAGGCGGAGAAATATTATGATCCATCAGTGCAAGTCGTTTGATTGGAACTAGAATCCGGAAAAACCATAGAATTTGAAGTGAAACATAGAATTTGGAAGACGAAGTAGGCCAACTTTGATACACTTGCGCATAGTAGAATATCAAAAGTCAGAGGGTCTCATCACGATGTCGCAGGGATTTGATTGGTTTTCGATGCCGGGGATGAACGCCGATACGGAGCATACGGAAAGGCTCACGCATCCGTCTGTTTCCTTTGGCTTCTCTTCCGCACCTTCAGGTTCTTCAGTTCCTACTGCTCAAGCACAACAACAAGTACATTCTTCACCGTATAAAAATCGCAGTGCTCATTTGAATGCATCGGCCGATACTTTATTTGAGCCCGACAAGATGTCTGATATTTTCAATCGTTTGGATATCTCTGGGAGGGACCGGAGAGCGCAGAGTGACGATAACATCAGTTTGGGATACACGCCTACAAATATGGCAGGTACAGAGTCAGGAAACAAAAGAGACCCACATCCACTTGCAAAAAGCACAGAGTCTCTGGCTTCTGACGATGACAGCACTGTTGCGTTGTCTTTGACAGCAAACGATCTCTCTATACAAGAAGCTAAAACGTACCTCAGGTGGTACAACAATATACTTTCCCGAAAGCGTGGCGAGAGAACTATAACTTTGGAAGAGGTGTTTAGGTTTCTTTCCAATTTTCGCATCTCCGAAGCCATCAAAAGCAAATTGAGAGAGCTCTTTGGCAAAATAGCATACTCTTTGAATATCGGCCAATTCTATGCATTGCTGAGATTGCTGGCTCACACGCTAGAAGGCAAGCCTCTCAGAAAATCATTAATAAAAGTTCAGGCATCCATTCCCAAGCCCATCTCAATCATGGCTCGTAAAAGAGCGAAGGATCCAAACGAAAGCATCGACAGCTCTGAAACGAGCTCGATAGACGAACAGCTGACAGAGGCCAGTCAAGAGCCGCCCCAGAAGCTGGACTTGGACTCGTTCACACAATTTATCCTCACAGGAGAACGTCCGTCGAAATCACCGAAGAAGAAAAGCCGGTCGGGCAAAAAAGTCAAGTTCTCGGATCAGGTGATCATAGAGCCACCACCTTCTGACGAAACGTCCATATCCTCTACGGATACGCCTCCCGAGAAATCTAGCTTTGATTTTTCCTTGCCAATGGACCAGCTGCTTGCTCGGATGAAAAATGAAACCTCCTCTCCGAGCTTACAGCAAGGGCCGCCGGCGAACACGGAGGACGAGGAGGAAGAATTGAAAGACATGCAAGAGTCTATCAATCATTTCCAAAATGTGACGATTGATAGCGTCTCAATTCATGGTACACCGTCTAGTGTTCCTACTTTGCAGGTTAACGATGGCTCTCCAGATGCAATGTCAGCCCCGTTGCAACCTCTTACTCCGAATCTAACGGGAAGTGTGTCCAAATCGATGAGAAACCATTACAACCTGCCACCTCCAAGGGAACGAGGAAATTCGTCTCCATTACCGTTTAGCTCACAACCGAGGGTCTCATCTCCACTTACGCGCAATGGAACTACATCCGCGGACAGCGCTACAACGTTTTTGGAAGCTGCACTTTCGCAAGGACCCGGCAGTCCTGGGCCAGAGCATTCACATGCGACGCCTCCCCCGCCACCCCCTTCAAGAAACAGAGGCTCTTCGTTGCTCAGGCCTCCTCCACCTCCTCCGAGATCTCGCAAAAATTCATCTCCACCACCAGTACTCGCTCCTGAAGGTCCCACACAAGAACAGCCATCTCTGCCGCCTAAGCCATTCCTAACTGATATGCAGCGCCAGCATCACTTGAGTGCCGAAAACATGACGCCAAACTTTACTGGAGGGTTTGGCCAAGGGTCTGATCTTTTGAACAGTCTCAAGAGCTTGCAGGCGGAAGTTGATCGGATCAAGGCGAACGAGTACTAGACGCGCCGATCGACGTATTTTTTTCCAATCACGACAAAATTTTTTATATCATCAATGCCACCGGTTCAGAACATACAGTATCAGCAACAGCAGCCTTCGAACTTCGACAAGTTCAAGATGGGACTCATGATGGGTGTATGTATTGAGACATAAGAATCCTAACTTTTAGAGCACGGTTGGAGTTGTCACCGGACTCATGTTTGGCGGAATGACCATCTTAAGGCATGGAGCACCTAACGGAGTGATGAACACGCTGGGCCAGTACATTCTCGGTTCAGCAGCAACCTTTGGATTATTCATGTCGATTGGATCTGTGATCAGGTCAGAGAGCGCTTACGACGTCGCGATGAGTCGGCCAGGGTCTCTAGCCGAGCTCAAGGCGCATATGATGGCTAGACACCTGGTCAGCATGGAACAAAACAAGAACAACTCTCAATAGGAGATCATCAAATTGAATAAAACTTGTGGATATGAACAGCGTAGTACAGGGAGGGAATTTGGAGATACTGTCTGTCTGTTTTGGATTTCTCCTCCGCTTGTAAAATCTACTAGAAAAGTGTCTCACGACTACCAATACGGGTGCTCGTCAGAGTGGTCATCTGCAGGCTCTTGAACCTTATCCAAACAAGTCAGCAAGCACTTTTGTAAGAACAATAGCAGATGAAGCACGACTGGGATTTTCTCCAAGTTCCAAATGCCCTGACGATCTTTTTCCCGCCTGATTGTCCGATTTAGGTTAACGAAATGTCGAACCAGACAATTGCAAAGATTGGCTTGCAAACTTGTTCTTGTCGTATGTAATCTGCACGGCTATAATGGTTTCATATATCTGAAACTTTTCGACGCAATAAATTTTCCCTACTCAGCTATCTTGATAGCGGGATCGAAGCTCAATGACGGCATGTTTCAAGTTTAGCTCCACGATATAAATATCAAGCATACGCAGGAACGCCTCTTGTGCAACTGTTCTTGGTAACAGAGGAAACTTCTGGTTACCGACCGATGTCTGAACCGTCAAAGAAAGTCCAAGGAGTGGTAAATAAAAGCTTCAATGCAATCCCTTGTGGAGATATCAGTGTCAAAGATCTGAAAGATATTTATTCATGTCTTCTGTACTGTCTGGACCTGAAAGCTGAACGTGAAAGAGAGCACAAGCTGCTCAAGCTGGCGTTCAAAACCTACCACCCGTACTCTTTCAGCTTGGAAACAGGCCTGGCCGCGATGCAAAAGCTGAGGATTCACCTCGAAAACACAGCCACCTGCATCGACATTTCTTATGAGATCAAGGCAAAAACAGCAAGAGAACTACTCCAGCTGTTTATGAACGCACGAATGCTACACTCACCTGAGGACAAAACCCGGTCAAAACTGAAGTCCGGAGTGCTTCTCCAGCCTACGCCCAAGGGAGTCGCCATTCTAAGCTCGTTCTGCTCAAAATACGGCATCCGAGGGCACAATCTTGTTCCCGACATCCTTAAAAGTAACCTGAATTCCATGGAGCTCATCACATTCGAACGCAACTCCAGAACAGGCGCCATTGTGCATAGCGAGTATTGGAACAAGGTGCTTTTCCTCCACCTTATGGGGCCGACCAAAAATTTCTGGTCGCCCAATATGCCGCCCGACGAGCTGCCGGACTTATCAAGAAGCTACATCGAAGAGACCTTTGGGACCGCAAATGGATTTGGTTCGTTTGAAATGACGTCTCAGGATTCGTTCTACGCGTTCCTGAACGAAAAAAGAGCAAGTGCCCAGCCAGTAGAGTTAGAGGAACAGGTCGAGAAAATCGAAAAAAACCCAGTTTCGCCTTTCCATCACAGATTCTTCACCAATCCAGATTCAGACTCTCATGTTCAATATTATGTGTCTTCGAAGGGTGTCCGTCTTTTCCACAATAAAATAGTCGAGAGGCCAGATGGTAGCAAAGAAAATATGGGCACCTGTTTCACAGGTAAGGCGGTAGTGCAGTGGCTGCTCGATTGCACCGACGTATGTTCACATGGGGAGGCTGTTAGAGTGGCTGGGCTGCTCTGGGACATGGGGCTGTTCTACTTGCTGAATGGGCAAGACTTCCCTAATGTTTCCAAATTCATCCCTCGTAGAAACGCTTATTATTTTCTGACGAAGGAGGGCTCAAAGCTGGTTCATTGGACACTACCAGACAGAATTCCGACGCTGTCAGATGAAGAGTCGGAGACAGAGGGTCAGACGCAGCAGTCACCGACGTTGCAAATCTCTTTGAAAGACGTGTTAGAGGACCCAGGAATGAAATACCAGTTTCGCACACATCTTGTTGACGAATTCTCTGTGGAGAATTTGGAGGTATACAATGACATACAGCTGCTCGAAAAAAAGTTCAAGGTACTTAAGAAGCTACTCAAACTAAAGGAACGGGAGAAAATGTTCCTTTTGCGGACGCCTCTGCGTGCAAAACGCAAAGCTACCATTTCCGCAGCTGTCATCAAGCTGTCCACTGATTGTCTCAGCGATGCGTTCAACATCTACACAGCCTATCTGGCGCAGGGCACCCCATTCGAACTGAACATCAACTCTAGACTTCGGACAGATATCAGCCGCAAGATGGTTGCGTCGGAGCAGCGTGCTCCCAAAGAGGTGAGAATAAATACAGAGATCCAAGTTCCAACTCCCCCACCCAAGACGGACCTTCCTGTCAACAAGAAGGACCCGACTCAGCTCACCTTGGACTTGCAGAGCATCAAATTCGTGGACCCTCCAGCGCCATCGCCGACAGACTACTCGATTGCTCCAGTTCTGGAGTCACTGGCAGGAATCATGCCGCTCTACGAGGAGGTGAAGAGACACGTTTTTGAGCTGATGGCAAAGGACTCGCTGCCCAAGTTTCTCGAATCCGACATACTCAAGGAACTCCCTGTATCGATCACCAAACAAGCTAGATGATGCACAGTTGTAGATTTTAATTTTATGTATGATTAATTTTGGATACGCAAGATCAAAAGGTATATTTATTCATACTTAATTAACCGGATCTATTGTGGTTCCCTTTTTAATGGTAGCCCACCCGATCAGTCTGAAGTGCTTGTCAATACGTCTAGACAAAGCGATCTTCTCGTTAATCTCGGTACAAGCCGGCGATGTGAGCGTCAATCTGGCCATATCTGCTTTGACGGCAACGACTCTGGCTCCTGTAGCAGTGGATCCGATGTTCACCATCAGCACGTCGTCAACCTCAAGTTTTCTCACACGAGCCTGTTTCTGGCCATCTGTCTTGACACCCAGAAGTCTCCTGAGTAGGAAGTAATTAATCTCAATGTCGGTGAAAACCGATGGAAGATGTCCCTTGGATCCGACAACTTGGCCAACCAGACGGTCTGCTCTACACAGAGTAGGGTCAATGTTAGTTCCCACACCGATCAGACCTCCCGGAACAGCGAACTTTAGGTCGTTGTTCTCAGCATACAGCGAAACAATGCTCGAGAAAATAGGCTTGCACTGGATCTTTCCGTTATCGTCTTTGGTGACGATACCTGGTCTGACTTCGATTTCGTCTCCGATTTTGAACACACCGGTCAAAATAGAACCTCCAGCAACACCTCCCTTCAACTCCTCGATCTCGGAACCTGGCTTGTTCACGTCAAAAGATCTGATCACAATGAGCTGGGGCTGGGCAGAGAAGTCTCTCAGTGGGACTGGGATCGAATTCACCATGCACATGTTAACAGCGTCGATGTTGTATTTGAGTTGTGCAGAAATAGGAATGATTGGAGCGCCGTCCGCGATCGTGCCCTTGATAAACTTTAGAATCGACTTTTCGTGCTCCAGAGCAGCCTCCTCCTTCATCAAGTCCACCTTGTTTTGTAAAATGATCACATGCTTCAGCTTCATAATCTCGATGGCTGCCAAATGTTCAGAAGTTTGTGGCTGTGGACAAGATTCGTTACCTGCAATAAGTAGCAAAGCAGCGTCCATGACGGCTGCTCCAGACAACATGGTACTCATCAAGATATCGTGACCCGGACAGTCGACAAACGACACATGTCTAACCAGCTGGTATCTGCCTGTGCAACCTTCTCTTTCGCACTTTGGGTGAATCTCCTTGCTGCTCTCAAAGGAACGGTAACATCCCGGCTCAGGACACTCCTCGTTGTCACATCTGTAGATTTTGGCGTTAGCGTATCCTAACTTGATTGTAATGTTTCTTTCCAGCTCGTTCTTGAATCTGACAGTTTGCACTCCAGAAATGGCGCGGACGACGGTACTTTTTCCGTGGGCGACGTGACCAATGGTACCGATGTTAATGGTGGCCTGTCTGTTGATGATTTCTGGCGACAAAGGAGTCAGCGATGAAAAATCTGGGTTATCTGGCTGTTCTGGAAGACCGCCTCCTTCTTCAAACTCCTTTCTGCGCCTCTCAAGCTCGTCCTCGTGTTCCTTCTCGTCATCAGATGTCACAAAACTCACTTTTTTGCCCTTTTGTGCTTCTTGTTCGTTTTCGCTGTCGTCTCCTTCCTGGCCAGCATACTGATCGTTGTGAGTCTCATCCTGGCTACCGCCAATGACGATGTCGGGAACTACGTCTTGAAGTTCGGTCGGCATTTCGAAATTATTTGTATCTATTTTTTTTAAAGGTTTTTTTCAACAATTTTTTCAACGACTACGTAGAAATTCTCGCGCGTCGATCGTCTTTCAGACACTTCACTCAGCATGGAACCCAAACACGTCCATCACCGTATCGATGTTCTTGAACAGGAAGTCCGAGTCCATGTCCGTCACCATCTCCCACGAGTCCAGCGGGAACTCGCGGTTTTCGCCCGTGTCTGATTTGCGCGTCTTTTTTGTAACCTCAGGTTGCACTCTGGTCTGCTCCGGAGGCGATTTGTACTGTGACAAAAATGGCGACGCCTTGCTGCTCGAAGTGGCGCTGCCGCGGTCCTGCTTGTCGCTCAGAGCTATCGGTTGGGGGTCCAGCGGAATTGTTTTGATAATTTTGCGGGCAGACGATTCCGGATGCAGGGTATTTGACAGGCTTCTCTGTTTTCTGCGTCTCCGAGACTGGGACGAAATAGACGAACCCGGCGTGTCGTGGATGTCCTTGGCAATAAGCTGATCATCCGGAGTCTCGTCAGACGCAGAGTCGGAGTCCACAGCGTCTTCGTAGCCCTCCGACTCCGACTCCTCGTCTGCAGCTCCACTATCGACATTCGAGGAGCTTTCGCGCGGTGCCAGCTTGATCATACCGCTCTTCTCGCGCAAAATCCAAAGGCAGTCGAAAAACACGCTCGCAGCCATCCGCGAACGCACAGTGACTTTCTGGAACTCGTCTCCACGCTCGTGCAGCGTCTTGAACAGAGGCCAGAGCGAGCGCATGATTCCTGACGATCTGTGTGCCATATCATGCTTGACAACCGAAGCCTTCAGAACGAGGTCGATTGCGCTCTGGTACGCTTCCTTTCCAGCACCAACGTCCACAAACGAGGTGTACGAGGAGTGCACCAGTTTAGCGATGATGAAGGCGGCCTGCCAGATCGTCAGCACATGGACTCCAGGCATGTATTTCATGAAACCTTTGTCTCGAGCCTGGGCATCTTTGCAGTGCATAATGACGGCCAACGCAGCATTGTACGCTTTGGTCATGCCTTTGGTGAGCTCGAAAGGTGCAATTCTATCGGTGTCCAGAAAATAGTATGTTGTAATGTGCAGTCGGGCAGCGTAAAGATTCATCCGCAACATGTCGTCGACAGGATGGGCGAAGTCCGACAACAGCTTGATCTGCAGCTGGTCCAACTGATTGTGTAAGAGCTGCAGCAAGGGCAGTCTTTCGGAGGCATCCACCAGTCGCAGCGGGTCCAGAGGATTGCTGTTCAGTGTTTTGGCCAGACAGTCCTCAAACAGCTGTATTTCCACCATCTGTCTCAGCGAGTCAGGAATCTCCAGCGCGGTGTTGGGCTTGCACGACATGAGCAGCGACGTGTCGAGCTGGACAAAACTAGGAAAGCCGAAAGCAGTACCGATGATTTGGGACACCGCATTGCAGCATAGCCAAGTTCTCACCTGCTCCTTCAACAAATCCATGTTATTTGTTTTCATGCCGTCAGACGAATGGCCCGGCACGTGGAGTCCAATCCTAATCGCCTGGAAAATGGCCATTCCTATCGAGTTCCAGCTAGCGTCAGCGCTCAACGAAGACTTTAGAGGGGGCCAGTAGGTATATATTAGCAAGGCCTGAACAGAGAAGACACTGGAAACATTGAGAATGGCCTCTTCCATCTCTGCAGGGGCATATCTCGTGATTGGCGCAATTGCGAGCTCTGCCAAAGCTGACTTGAGAATGGGCGAAAGCGCAAAATAAAGCCGACTGCTTTCTTCTCTGGAGATGGCAGACGACTGGTGTTTCCGCAGGGCTGTGTACATGATGGTCCAAAAGAGCACTGGACACAATTTATACAGCTTTTCCACGCCCTTGTGGACATCAACGACGGGCAGAATAGGGTGGTAGCGCTCGACGTACTCGTAAAAGAGAGCCTTGATTTGATCCTCTGAAAGATTAACGTCTCCAAGTGATTTTGGGGAGCAAGTGTACAGAGACGAGTCTATATGTACTCGGGGAACAGCAACGGGATCGGGGCCTTTGGTGCCAAAAAAGGTGGACTCGGTCATGTTCCGCATCACTGCTGGACCAGTTGGCGCCGTAGAGGGCGCAGTAGCTGGGGATGGGGATGGGGACACAAACGGTAGGATTGGCGGTATGCTTTGAGGCGGTGGCGGGCCCGAAGGAGGTGCGTTAACGGCAGTCAGGGAAGGGAGCGTCGTGATCTGCGGAACATACTCCGTACTCCTCATGTCTCCTTGAAGCCGTTGTCGAAGAAATTCATACTCTTTCTCTAACTGTGCTATTTTGGCTCGCTTATAAGTTCTCTTGTAGTCTGATTTCAGCTCACATGGCAGCTTCCGCCGTTTGCATCTGGTGCAGGGCTCGGGGGCCGTTTCGTGGGCATCGCACTTGGCCTTCTGCTGTCGGCATTCAACACAGGCAATTTTCTTTGACCTTGTCTGCTCCTTATCGGTTTTTACCAATGGCTGTCCATCGGTACTCATTCGGATTCGACCTGGAATTAGGGATGTCCCTTTGGCTAGATAAGTATTTTGATATTTTTTTTTTTTTTTTTTTTTTTTTGATTTTTATTATCTGAAAAATACTATGGTGCACTTTCTAGAGAGCATCAACCATGCAAGCTCAGACACGAAAGTGCTGTGGTTTTCAGTGTTTGTACGAATGTCATCTTTTAGCCTGACCAACCAGGTGCTGACGTTGTATCTCAAGGAGTTGCACATCAAGGAGTCCCTGATCGGTCTGTTCATGTCGCTCACCATGATAGGAGATACCCTGCTGTCGTACATTTTGGTGTGGAACTCAAACAAAATAGGCAATCGCCGCATAATGGTGCTTGGCAGCTTTTTGATGCTGGCATCTGGCGCTGTGTTTGCGTCGGGAACGGATAGCTTCGGCCTGCTTCTCGTCGCCTCGGTGTTAGGTGTGATTTCACCGTCTGGAAGCGAGACGGGCCCGTTCAAGTCGATCGAGGAAGCCGTTCTCGCAAAACTGACCCCGCCAGATCATCGACCCGAGGTTTTTGCCGTGCACGCCGTTCTAGCGTGCGCGGGATCATCTCTGGGGGCACTGGTCGCAGGGTTTTTCGTCCAATCCATGGTTTCGAAATACAATATCGTCTATAAAGACGCCTACAGATACACATTTATCATCTACTGCGGCATTTCAGCGGTGAAGATGCTCTCGATGCTGATGCTATCGCCCAAATGTGAAATCTCCTATATCCCAACCTATGAAAATGCTGCTAATAAAAGTCTTCCTCAGGAGCCGGCCGAGCTTGATGACTCGACTCCGCTCCTGGTATCGACTGTTGAGCACCAGACCGTCACGGGGCTCTCGCCATCGACGCAGAAAATGCTTTTCAAGCTGCTCCTCACGTTTACGATCGACTCGTTTGGCGCTGGATTCATGCCGCTTGCATGGATCATATATTATTTCAAATACGAGTTTGACGCTCCGGCAGCGACTCTCGGAGCCATCTTCTCGTCGCTGGACATTTTACAAGCACTCGCTGCAATTCCGTCCGCGTGGTTCGCCAAACACGTCGGCCCTGTCAAGTCGTCCATCCTCACACAGGTACCTTGCGGGCTGGCCCTGCTCTGCATTCCGCTATTTGGCAAAACTCTAGCATTGGCATCTGTTTTCCTGCTTCTCAACCAAACTTTCACAGCATTCGATGTGATACCGCGCCAAATCCTTCTCTCGTCTGTGACGACCTCTGAGGAGCTCCCAAAAGTGATGGGTACGGTGAATTTAGCGAAAACCGCTGCTAGAGCGATCTCGCCAAACTTCACCGGCATTTTGGCCCAGCACGGAGCGCTGTGGGTGTGTTTCGTTCTCAACGCCTCGCTTTTGGTGGCTGCGAACCTGATCCTTGGATACAACTTCCCGCACCTCGACTCGCAGATAGTCCACCACGGCTAGTCCTCGTTCACGCGAATGCGCTTTCCCACACCCTGATCGCGCGTCGTATCGATGTTCATAGCGCTGTTGGACCGTGTGCTCATGCTGCTGTGCATGGCCGTGCTGTTCCCAGACCTTGCTGCTAGCTCGTTCACATCAAAGTAGTCGTATCCGCCCAAAATGTTGGAGCTCTTTAACGTGTAGTTACTAGAAAGCATCGATTTTGGTATCGCGCTAACGTACGATTCCAATTCTCTGGCCCTGCTGCGCTCTGTGGACTTGTCAGAGACGCTTCCCTCCTCTTTCCATAGAGACCTAATCTCGTCAAAAACACTCTCCAACGTCTCCAAAAACCTGTCCGTCTGTCTCCATTGCGACGAGGCCACAATCGAGATCATGTCATCCTTAATTATGTAGCCAATCCCAAAACCGGTGGGGATTGCAGGGGTGACACCAAAAAGGTGCAACGCAGGGTTTCCGCAATTGGCAACGAGGAGCTCTGGTTTGTACAGATGGTCAAGAGCAGGCTCAAACAAGAACGGCGGCACCTGTCGCGTCTGGCATTTTGGAACGTTTGGATGCAGCTTTTGAAGAAGATCAAGCTGTATGAACGCCGATCTAAGGGCGCTGAGATGCCGCTCGAATCCCTGTCCCCTGGATGCGTTGCGAATTTTCTGCGAGTGCTCGTGAACGGCATCAAGAAGCAGGCTCCATTTCTGGGAGCCTGATGTCTGCGAAATGAAGGCCTGGCAAAGAGCAAGCACGGCTTCGCTCTGGACGCATATTGGCTCCGTTCGAGCGTCTCTGAATTTGCGAGTGCTAACGGGTTCGAGCGCTGGCACAGGTTTTCCGTAGAGAGCATAATACGTAATCTGAATCGCCAGTTGAACGATAGAGTCTGCAGGGAGGTTAAGTTTGTTGGCAAAGACGCTGTTTCCAAGAGTTGTCACTGTTCTGGAGACGTACTCGTGCTGATGGATGATGTCTGCTAAACGGGTTTCTGCAAGATGGAGACCTGACCGTAACTCAGGAGTGAGCTTGAATTCGAGCTTCCGGAACGTGGGCTTATCGAGCTGGCTGTTGATCGGAACGGTGTTGACGTTCTTCCAGAGCGTGTAGTTCGTGCCGTTGATCTTCCTGGCTAGCCGCAAAACCGAGTCTGTGTAGATATCGCTCACGAACCGCAACACAGTGGTTCCATCCATGCACGCAGCAGGATACACACAGGCCGCGACAGAGTTTTCTGTGATTATCAGATTTAGTTTATCGTAGTAGCGATTGGTACAGGTGCCGACCTGGATCCCGTTGGAGTCAATTCTTGACGTTCCATGTGGAACGTACTGCACTTTCTGCAGGTCGTTGGCTGGGGCCTCGTGGTCCAGAGAAACGACAAACAGAGCGTTATCAAGTATCTCCAGAACGTCCTGGTTCGAGCCTTCCAGACAGGAGCGCGCGTGTTTCCAGGTGGATTTCAGTTCAGTCGTGAACGAGCCAATTGCGTGCCGTGAGACGTCTGCCTGGTCTTCCTTCTTCGAGTCCTCCATGATCTCGAGTAGAATTTCCTTCAGCTCGTGCTTCGAGAACCAGATCTGGTGGTCTTCGGAAAGCACCTCGAGAACGTAGAACTGGGATCTGGCCATCACGACGATGTGTCTGCTGTTTTGGTATTCGGTACATCTTTTTATGGTGACACCGTTGTTGAAAGGCACGATGGTAGTTCCAAAGAGATTGTGGTAGGAGCTCATGGAGAGCGGTTGTTTGCTTTTCGGGGCCGTGTCCGGCGTGAGCAGGTCCTGGCGCAGGGCCACAATAAAGCGCAACGCCGAGGTGACCAAGATGGAAGCCCGGAAAGCTTGTGTGGGGGGCATCGATTTGAGGGGATCGTCCTCAAAAATGAAGAAGGGGTTTCTTGGCAGCGTGTGGCCTCTGAGATCGCCGTACACATTTGCCGTGGTAGGAGAAATTCCGTCAGAGTCCAAATAATTGTGATTGAGCTTGGAGCTTTCGAGCAAATGCTGCTGAAGCAGCTGAACAATGTCAGAGTTGAGCAGCTCAAACGACTTTTCCTCAAGATGGCGGTACTCGTCGGTCGAAACGAGCGGTTTCAGAGCCTTGAGAGCCTGGTCCACGGTCTCCAGTAGAGCAGGGACCGGAAGATGGGGCAATTGGGCCTCGTGCTGGAACGTTAGGCTGGACATGGTAAGTGGCAGGACGAGGGGAGAGCAGAAATATTTATACCCCACATCCCCGCACAGAAATTATCAGAGGCCAGGATGCTGAACATTCTAGTGACTAGATTTCAGTGCTATCTGGCCTTGAGACAAAATTGGGTGATGCTGCAGGGAGCGGGTGATGGACATACGGGTTATTTGAGGGGTTCGGGGGGCAGGGAGGACGCCGGGTAACCCCAGCAGTTTTTAGACTTCCTAATTGGGCCAGAAAGTCAATTCCAGGGATAAGAAAAATGGTAGCGTGCGCGTGCCAAAAAGTCGAGTTTGTGACTGTATTTTTCGCGGATTTGAAAATTTTCAAGTGTGAAAAACTTTCCAATCAACCATGTCTGAAGTCGAAGCACAACAACCAGTCGAACAATACGAGGAGGAGATTGTCTCTGAACCAGTGGAGGTCAAGTTCGTCGAGCTTGCCACTCCTATCCCTAAAGACATCCAGGCCGGTACCCAAGAGGTGAAGCTGTTCAACAAGTGGTCTTTTGAAGACGTCACCGTCAAGGACATCTCTCTGACCGACTACATCCAAATCAGACAGCCAGTGTACGTTTCCCACACTGCTGGCAGATACGCCTCCAAGAGATTCAGAAAGGCTCAGTGTCCTATTGTCGAGAGATTGACTAACTCTCTGATGATGAACGGTAGAAACAACGGTAAGAAGCTCAAGGCTGTGAGAATCGTCAAGCACGCCATGGAGATTATCAACGTGCTGACTGAGCAAAACCCACTCCAGGTCATTGTTGACGCCATCGTCAACACCGGTCCTAGAGAAGACTCCACGAGAATTGGATCTGCTGGTACCGTTAGAAGACAAGCTGTCGATGTCTCTCCTCTCAGAAGAGTCAACCAGGCCATTGCTCTGCTGACCATCGGTGCCAGAGAGGCTGCTTTCAGAAACGTCAAGACCATTGCCGAGTGTCTTGCTGAGGAACTGATTAACGCCGCCAAGGGCTCTTCTACCTCGTACGCCATCAAGAAGAAGGACGAGCTGGAGAGAGTTGCCAAGAGTAACCGTTAAGCATATAGAACAAGCAGTAATATTGGAGATTTGTGTGAGCAGTGTAGCGTGCCTGTGTCTTTCTTCTACAGGTCTCGGGTGTGGTTCGTCTAGAACATATATCGGTACATCTAGTTCTACAGTTCTATGCTAGTCTATTAGTTGAGCAGTCGCTTGAGATCGACAGCCTTTGTGTCTTTGTGCTTGTCTCCGTCCTTCTCGTCCTCTTTGGCCCTTTCTGTGTCCGAGTCCTCACTCTCACGAGAGCGTAGTTTCGAGCGCGCGCTCTTGGGCGAGACAGATCCGTCAGAGTGCTTCTTGCCGGCCACGCCCACAACGAGCCGTCGCCAGCGGAATTGGCACGCGTTGATCGTTCTGTTGGGAAAATACGAGGCGATTTCTCGCCAGCCGTAGTTCTTCTCCTCCTTTAACATTCTCAGCAGCTTGTCGTCTTCAGGACTCCACGCGCTGCTAGATTTAGAAACGTACCGAGACGAGACCTGGGAGGGAGGCGGGAGCACCATCTGCGGGTGCCCCATTGCGTATGGCTGAGTATTGGGCGCGGGCGGCATGTAGTAGTTCGGGCCTGCGGGAGGACGGTAGTCGACTGGCTCTTGGTTGTATGCAGAGATGTAATGTGGATGTGAAACGGGGTACGCATGATGGGGAGAGGCGCCGTACTGCCCGGGGGGCGGGTAGGGCGATGAGATCAGGTAAGGAGATGGGGGAGGAAGTGCCGACTGATCAGGCGATCTGGAGGGCGCTGATATTTGGGGGAGGCCTACTCTCGGGAGCGGAAGGTGCGGCGGCGATGGAGACAAGTCGGGGCCCAAATCTCGAATAGAGGGTAAGGTGATCTTGTTAGGATTTTCGTCGATGTTATTATCTGTAGTATTTTCCATAGTGATTTGGCAAGACCAGAGGTGTTTGCATTTCTTGTCAGAAGGGGAACTATTCAGTGGGTCATGAACGATTAGAGCGAAGTCGGAAAAGGGAAATCGGGAGAAATTTAGAGAGGCTGACGTCCAAGGGGTTTTATAATTTGCAGTTGAAATAATCTTGAAATATCTGTTCCTATGCTTCTATTTTAGCGGTGAGAAGCAGCAACAACTTATTAGCGATGCATTATAGATGCACAGAAAACTTTTTAGCGTCTAAAACAATAGAAAATTTGTGTTTCATGTTCTCAGGATGCAACAACTGACGTTGCTGAAAACTACTTGGTTAAAAAAGCAGATACTACAATACGGCCAGTGCGTGCGTCGACGTACCTCTCAAGTAAGCGTGGGCGTATGCGAGAATCACGGCGGAAAAACAGCGGGTGGTGCGCAGATCTTTCGGCCACTTTTAGAGTACTGCCGTCGCAGATATGCAACGAGACCCCTTTTAGTCATCGAATCTATTCTTGTCGATAGCTGACAATCTCTATGCGCTCTCCGAGCCACAGGAATGTACAAGGCGCAAATTTACCAAACGTGCTGTATGCGGCGCCGCTTCTACTAATGGAACATAAACCCGCAACGGTGATGCTGGCACAATAAAAAAAATTTTCTCGCTACTATGCTTGGCCGGTTAATTTCGATTATTCTCTGTCCATTTATGTTCGCATTGAACGCAATGTCCGAGATCTTCACTTATGCCTCAAGCTGGAATTGCAGACAATATACAAGCGACGATCTTTTTTCAGTGTCATGGTCGGCAATTCGCGCACTTTGCATAGCGAAAACTTCGGCATTTCCCCGCGCAGGAACCGAACAGTCTGCAAGACGCATAGATAATACTCACTCGCTGAGGCCCTTGACTAGCTCGATCGCACCATTGAAACTCTTTTCTGGCGAGATGCCGACTCGTTTGACTTTCAGAATTGCATCCTGGAAAATGAAATCCGACCTGACGATGCCGTTAGGGTGTTTTTTAGCACCAAGCAGCCCGATTAGCTGTTTTGACGGGTCACACCACAAATCATAGGGCAATTGCTGTTTTGTTTTGAACGTAGTCTGTGCCTTAGGCGAGTCTGAACTGAGCCCCACTACAGTGGCGCCCAGCTTAATCAGCTCTTCTGCCTTGTCTCTGAAACCGATTGCCTGACGCGTACATCCTGGAGTCGATGCTTTTGGATACAAAAACACCACCAGAACCTTTGCGTCCTTTGCATATTGCGCGATCGCCACTTTTTCGCCGTCCTGGTTTTCCAGTTCCAGATCGTCGGGAAGCGCGTCGCCCTCCTGTAGAGTGTTGGTTGACTCCACCTTGTCGTTGTTCTTTTTCTCTGCGGGCTTCTGGTCCTCGCTGAATTGGGCTGCTACTGGCTCCTTGGTCTCTGTCTTTTGTTTCTTGGGTTCCGGGACCGCCTCTTGGGCCTCCTGTTCTCTTAATCTCGCCGATCTACGCACCATCGGATTTTATTTAATCTACGCGTATTTCTTCTTTTAGCATCGAAAATTCGAGCACGGGCAATTTATTAATAATATTAATATTAGGTTATCTAATCCTCCTCCTCAGCAACGCAGGTCTCGTAATCAAGCAACTTCCAAAATTGCCAGATGGAGAAAGCAAGAACAGAACCGAGAATTGGGCCCACCCAGTAAATCCAGTGGTACACAGGGAAGGATTTGGAAGCGATACATGGACCAAATGTTCTTGCCGGGTTCAAGCCGGCTCCGGTGTAGTAGACGCAAACCAAGTGACCCAGGAAAAGCGACAGACCAATGCACACTGGAGCGTAGTCAGAAAGATTCGATTGCTCCACGGCAGTCATCAGAACGGTGATGCAGAGCAAGGCGGTACCGAACATCTCAATGAAAAGACCTCTGCTCTTGGAGCATCCTCCGCCAAGACCGTTAGCAAAAGCAATTGGACCAGGAGTCATAGCGGAGGCAGCACCAGCAGCGGCCATGCCGGCCACCATCTGGGACAACATCATGATAAGTCCACGGATTGGAGAAATGGCTCTAGCAAGCACTAGGGACAGGGTGACGGCAGGGTTGAGGTTACCACCGGAAACCCTGCAGGTGAGGAAAATGGCAACCATGACACCAAAACCGAAACCAAAGGAGATCATGATGAGCTTGGCAGGATTGGAGCCCTGCGAGGAGTAGAACTCGTCCTGGTTGGCGATCTGGGCTATCATGTATGCTACCCACAGGAAAATGAAAGTACCGATAAATTCGCCAGAGGCAGCAATAAAGTGGTTTTTCAGGGTATTGGAGAGACCGAATTTGGAGGTCTTAAGAGCGGGCGAGTAGCCCAATTGTTGTTCAGCGTCCATTTGGTATTCTTTCGCGAGATTGACAGGGCTCCCGAGAATTTGGGTCCTTATTTATATGATGGAATTGACACTCTTTTTCCAAAAAGGTGAAGTGTGCAGACGCAAATCGATGTACAAATTCTTATTGTGCATGTCAATAGACAAAGGAAACGCGAAACAACTGTGGATAGAATAGGAAGGAAGTGCATGTATTTAGTTATTGCTGCATGAGGAAAAAATAGGCCCTGTTCGACCCCTTCGGGCCTAGTAGCCCACATTTTAGGAAGTAAGCCATTCCGCTTCTGAAAGCTTCTATTTTATTGTGTTTTTTTCTTCGTGTTGTTTAACAATCAAAACCTTATTATTAGGCTTTGATTTGACAGATAGCGCTGATCAAAAAAAGGCATTGGGAGTTTCAGTTGGCTTTGACCCAACGATGCCAATTTGGGATCGGTCTAGTGATAATCTCTTTACACAGCTGGCAGCGTCGATGAACGCTGTTCATGCAGAGACCACCTGTGTGAGAGTTTTGCTTCTCGATCCTGTTGTCTCATGCAACCCAACACTTTATATTCGGCAAGACACCAATGTCTTCTATTCGCTGAGAGCCGGTAATTTCAAGTTTTGTGTATTGTTCGGGCACCTGGCTGCGGCAAATTCACTGATGCTTCTTCGATCCAGAACAATTCTGGCGCATAAAGCAGTGTCTATCTAGTGTTTACATGCAGCGGCAGCGAAGTTCCACACAGGAACAGCTATTTGGCATATCTATGTTCCGAACCGTTGTATTGTAAAGTAGTATTCAACTTTATTTACGTGCAGCGTTCTAAGCCGTAATGCCCGTACGTTAAAAATAGATCCGGAATTTCATTTCTACCCGAGCCAAAGCAGAACGCAAAGTGTGTGCGTTGGTTAGGACTCACTTTTGTACGTGAATCGGAAGCTAAACGAGATGTAGAAAAAATTGCTTTCGTCCATCACAGTGAAAATTTCCTGTACAAATAGATCATACCTCTACCTCAAAAAACGAGGCTTATTTATTTTCTCGGTAACATTGCTCACAAAGCCCTAAGTGCTTCCTCGCAATACCCTGGCTACGTTTACTGTATACAGCTCTAGCCAATTGCAGCTGGAACAAATCCACACCCCCTTCTAAACGGTGATCTCTGAATTTTGGTCATGTGAAAAACCCCGCTGCCACCTATTGGACGCCCAGAGTGACCGCTACGGATCGACGGTGAACCAGGGGGTGTCGGGCGGGGGAAGACAAACGTAGGGTGTCACACGCGGGTCAATGGGGATTAAGGAATCAAATTAAGGAATTTAACGGAGTACGAAGCGTGGACGGGGTGAGGGTGACTGTGGACCGATACCGGAGGGCCTCATGATTTGCTAATACTCTGACCCCCATAAAATTTAATCTTTTCACACGACCTCGCCAGGTTCTAGTATAAGAATTGTATTTGTCGCAGGTGTTTTTTCGAAATATCCTGAATAATGCAGCGACAACTAGCGTCAGTGGGTAGAAGTCTCGGACAGAGACGTTTGTTTGGACACTCCGCAAAGGTCCTACAGACGGTCAAGCCAGTGGAGCCGGCCCAGCCTGTCTCCACTCCGAAGCGCAAAAGAGCCGGATTTTTCACCTACACGTTTTATGGGCTTATCGCTGCCGCTTTGGCCGAGACGGCTTACCTAACGTACTCTGTTTACAAGGAGACCAACCCAGGCACACAGAAGCCACAGTCCCTTTTGAAAGAAAACGGAGACAAAAGGAAGAACATCGTCATTCTGGGTTCCGGTTGGGGAGCAATCTCATTCTTGCACAAGCTGGACACCACTCAGTACAACGTGACCATCGTTTCTCCTCGTAACTATTTCTTGTTCACTCCTCTTCTGCCGTCTGTGCCAACTTCCACTGTTGACTCCAATTCCATCTGCGACCCTGTTCGGACTATCGCCCGTCAAACTCCGGGCGAGGTGACTTACTACGAAGCTGCTGCAACCGACGTGGATCCTGTGAACCAGACGGTCAAGATCGTTCACAAGAACATGAACTTCTCGCACGGAGAAGCCTTTGTGAACAAAGACGATCCGATTGAGAAGACACTGAGTTACGACTATTTGGTCTACGCCGTTGGAGCCAAGGTCAACACGTTCGGCATTCCAGGCATTCCCGAGTACGCTTCGTTCTTGAAAGAGGCCCAGGATGCCACTGCTGTGAGACAGAAGCTTTTCAACGCCATTGAGGCTTCCAGACTGTTGCCAGAAGACTCTGAGGAGCGCAAGCGTCTCCTAACGTTTGTTGTTTGCGGTGGCGGGCCAACTGGTGTTGAACTGGCTGCTGAGGTGAAAGACTACATTGACCAGGACCTGCTCAAGTTTATTCCAGGAATCGACAAGGAGATGAAGGTGGTCTTGGTGGAGGCTCTGCCTAACATCTTGAACATGTTCCATCCTAAGCTGATTGAGTACACGAAGGAGGTCTTCAAGTCTCAACATGTTGATCTGAGAACCAACACCATGGTGAAGAAAGTGGACGCCAGAAATGTCTATGCTTCTGCCAAGAAGCCAGACGGAACCACCGAGGAGGTTGTGATTCCGTACGGTACTCTTGTCTGGGCCGGTGGTAACGCTCAAAGAGAGCTGACTCGTTCGCTTGCTGATAAAATTACCGAACAAAAGACGGCCAGAAGAGGACTTCTTGTTGACGAACACATGAAGCTTGACGGAGACGACCACATCTATGCTCTGGGAGACTGTACCTTTACTGCCAATGCTCCAACCGCCCAGGTTGCCCATCAACAGGGAGAGTTCCTTGCTGACCATTTCAACAAGCTCGCCAAGATCGACGACCTCCAGTATCTCTTATCTTTGGAAAAAGACGAGGCTTCTAAAGAGAAACTCTTGAAGCGTCTTGAGAGATACAAGAACAGCATCAAGCCTTTCACCTACAAACACCAGGGTTCTTTGGCCTACATCGGTTCTGAGAGAGCCGTGGCCGACCTTTCATGGGGCTCGTGGTCCACTGTAGCTCTTGGAGGAAACCTCACTTTCTTCTTCTGGAGAACAGCCTACGTCGCCATGATCCTGGGTATCAGGAATAAGCTTCTTGTGGTCAGTGACTGGATCAAGGTGTCGATGTTTGGTCGCGACTGTTCCAAGGAATAAATTCGTTAGAGTGATATTTAAATGACTAGCGTAACTAATTAATGTTGGCGCACTTGCGCGGTTCCAGCTCGCCTGTTTCAGGCACCACCATCGTTTCCCAGTCTAGCGGATACAGTAGCTTGCCCGATTTCGACCGTGCATGTATCACTCCCAGATCGTTTCTTGCTGTGGACAGATAAAAATTTATTCCATCTCCTAGAGAAATCACCAGCGCCTTGACGATATCTCCTGGTCTGAAACAATCCCCGACTTTCACTTTGTCTCTATCTGTGGAGCGAATGTCTGTGGAGCGAATCACGGCTTTGAAATTCTCGCCGTAGTCATTTAGCAGTAAGTTAGATAAATGGACACTTGCGTCTTGAACGTGCAGGATGTCAAGGTTGACCTTGTTGGACGATATCTTTGTGACTTTGGCAATGACCACGTCGTTTTCAGATGGCGTGAAATTGGCTATTTTCGCTTCACTCGACTGCACTGAAACGGTGGACGTGCTGTCGTTCGTGCTAAACTGCACAGAGCCCATAGTGGTGGCAACAATACACGGAACAACTGTTCCGTCAACTCTTTTCTCTATCTGCAGCGTGTTGGAGCCCGACACATACGTGTGGCTGGCCGTATGGACGGGGACAATTGGCTGTCCTGGCAATACCAAGGCGTTCATATGGATTCCTGATAAGGAGGGTGAAAAAATTTTAATAAATTTTTTTTTTTCAGTAAAAAAAAGTTTATCACTATGGGTAAAGGAGACGTTAAGAAGGCTGTTAAGTCAGCCAAAGAAGCGAAGAAGGGGAAGAAAGAGGAGAAGGCGGTGAAGACTCCTTCAAAGAAGGAGATCAAAGAGACCAAGACTAAGGGTAAGGGTAAGGGTAAGAAGGAGGAGGAGCAGAAGGAGGAAAGCGAAAGCGAGTCTAGTGACTCCAGCGATTCCAGCGATTCTGAGGGCGAGGAAAACTCTAGCGATTCCAGCGACTCTAGTGACACCAGTGGTTCTAGCGATTCCAGCGATTCTAGCGATTCCAGTGATTCTAGCGATTCTAGCGATTCGAGCGACTCCAATGAGTCGTCTAGTTCTAGTGACTCTAGTGATTCTGACGATTCGAGCGACTCTGATAAGGACGAGAGCTCTGACTCCGACTCTGACTCTGAGGAGGAGAAGGAGGAGAAGAAAGACACGAAGAAGGAGAAGAAGGAAAGCAAAGAAGAAAAGAAGGAAGAAAAGAAGGAGAGTTCTGATTCTGACAGTTCTGATTCTGACAGTTCCGACACCGACAGTTCTGAATCCGAGAATTCTGCTTCTGATAGTTCCGACTCTGATAGCTCTGATTCTTCTGATTCCGATAGCTCTGACTCTTCCGACTCCTCTGACTCTGAGGAAGAGAAGGAGGAAAATGAGGAAAAGAAGGAGAGCTCCAGTAGCGACAGCGACAGTTCTGATAGCGACAGCTCTGAGTCTGCATCTGATGCCTCCGAGTCGCGCAAGAGAAAGGCTGAAGAAGGGCTGGAGACCCCATCTAAGAAGCCTAAGGAGGTTGCCACTCTGTTTGTCGGAAGACTGGCGTGGGCAGTCGACGACCAGAGACTTTTAGAGGAGTTCCAATCTTTGGACGGAGTTTTGTCCGCCAGAGTTATGACCGAGCGGGAAACCGGTCGTTCTAGAGGGTACGGGTACGTTGACTTCGAGTCCAAAGAACAGGCACAGAAAGCTTTGGAACAGTTCCAGGGCAAGGAGATCGAGGGCAGACCAATTAATCTCGACATGTCGACTTCAAAGCCTCAGACACCGTCCCAGAACCAGAAGTTCCAGGATAGGGCGAAGAAATACGGCGACACCCCATCGCAGCCGTCCGACACACTGTTCATTGGAAATCTCTCGTTCCAGGCCGACAGAGACACTCTGAAGGAGTACTTTGAGCAGCACGGTACCGTTTTGGGCATCAGGATCCCTACGCACCCTGAGTCCGAGCAACCTAAGGGATTCGGATACGTTCAATTCAGCTCTGTTGACGAGGCCAAGGCAGCTCTGGAGGCCCTGAACGGCGAGTACATTGCTGGCAGACCTGTGCGTCTGGACTTCAGTGCTCCAAGAGACCCTAACGGAGGCTCTCGTAACGGCACGCCTACGCCTCGCGGCGGCCGTGGAGGATTTGGTGGCGGACGCGGGGGAGCTCGTGGTGGCTTTGGCAGAGAGCGTTCCAGCGGAAGCGGTGCTAATTCTGTTCCTGTGTCCTTCAAGGGTAAAAAGAAGACTTTTGACTAAATAATTAATTAGCAGTGGGAAATTGTTTTGTACTAAGAAAAATATTTGTATGCCTTTCAAATTGGAGGCTCTCTTCACAGAGGCCGTCATATGGACGCGTTGTGTCTACGCGCTGTCGACAATTTCTGACACCATCAAGGTCACGTTGAAGGAAGCTGGCGACAAGTACGAGCTGCTGCTGACGGCCGTGAACATCAACAAGACCAGCTCTTTGACGTGCACTTTTCGTCAGGAGTTTTTCCAGACATTCGCCATAGAAGGCGATTTGCCGGTTGTCAACAACCAGCAGACGTTCAGCTTTCTGATCAACAGCAAAACCATGAACGTATGCTTCAAAGATTGCGAAAACACGGAGTCCTTAAAACTGCTGCTGATCCACGAGAACGTGCCGGATTCAAGCCAGATCTTCAGCAACAAGCTGTTCGTGGAGGCAACGCGCACAAATGGGGTGACCAAGAACTACTCGTTGATGTTCCGACCCGGCTACACGTCGGATGATCTGAAGATCAGCAGGGTGTATGCCCGCTTGGTGCGTACGCAGGACCAGGAAGACCGTGTGCACCATCTGGTGATGGAGATTCGCATTCTGAAGAAGTTCCTGAGCATGTTTGGCCAGGGCCTCGAGGATTTCAGGCTTGAGGTGTATCCCAGTGCACGCAAGATGCTCTTGCACGGGTTCAACCGCCAGGAGTTGCTGAGCCAGAAAAATGCGTCGCTGGCGACGCAGCCGATGAGTTTGTCGATGCAGCTGAGTCTGAACGACATGGTAGAGGAAAACACCCTCCCCGGCGACGAAAAACACACCGTCGCCTTCAGGTTACGCGATTTCCGCACTTTTGTGCAGCTGGCGGGCGCCGAGAGCGGCGAGTGCTCGATCAAGTTCAGCTACGAAGGCTCTCCGATCGTGTTTGAGCGCCGCATCGCGAGGAGAGAGCACGAGCAGCGCGAGATGTGCGTGTTTACGCTTACGATGATCAGCGACAGCGAGGCCATAGAGGCTGCGCCGTTTGCCGAGCCGGCAAAACAGCCACGGTCTGCAGAGTCGCTGTTTGTGTCCGAGCCGGCGGAGGCAACTGCTCCCGCACAGATCGTCTGGAACAACGAGCCCCGCGACACGGCCACAGAGGACCGGCCTCGGAGTCCGCCGGCAACGGCCCGCGAAATAGACCCCCGGCCCGAGCAGCTGCCGTTCGACCCAGACCAGCTGGACCCCACGCAGGTGCCTATTGCCAAGGGCCTGTTCGACTAAGGAATGTTATTTATTTCTCGACTTTATAAACCGAACGCCTATTTCTTAATCTTGTCGCCGTAGTTGTACTTGATATACCTGTATGCCTGGCCAAGCTGGGCTCCTTCGTTCAGCAAGTGGCACGCAAAAAGCAGGTAATTGACCGGTCTCACGGCGAGCGAGTAGCGCATAAACACCAAGGAGTAAACAATCAGCGAGCCGGTCATTGGTCCGCTGATCATCTCGGGTGACTTGTTTCTGATGTCCATGATGGCCGCGATAGGAAGCCCAAAGTTCGAAGCCGGGCCCCAGAAATGCGTCGTGAACACATACTTGAGGTTCTGCTTGTTGAAGATCTGGTGCGCGAATTTCCACGCCGAGGAAGAGCTCATCGTTGTTCAGCAGGTACGAAAATTTGTAGGGTTAAAAAAATATTTACTCGGTCTCCTCTTTTTGCAGTGGAATGTAGTGCGTCTGCCGGCTCACCAGCGCCCACAGGAACCCGCACGCGACCACCGCCAGCCCCAGAGTGCCCCAGAACGCACCGTTGTAGCATCTGTATCCGGCCATGCACAAGCGTCGCGTTTCCCCGGATATCTCCAGATTTTCAGTATGCAGGTCGTAGTTGCGGGCGAACAGCGTGCTCAGCACCAGGTTTGTCACCACCGGAGTCAGGTTACATAGTCCCCAGTTCGTGCTGAAGCTCGTCATCCCCCACAGGTCGCGCACCACCACCGGTGTCAGCGTGTACAGCGAGCCGTACCCCAGCCCGAGCCCCACAGACAGAAAAGAGAGCGCGCGCAGGTCCTCCGAAAAAATGCCACCAACCTGGACCGCCCCGATCAGCGCCGCAGGGAGCAGCAGTAGGTACGTTCGCGACCGCCGCACGCGCGCGTGGAACTCGTCCGCCACCAGCCCGCCCAGCAGTCGCCCGCCCGTCGAGCACAGCGAGAGCAGACTCACCTGCGCGTGCTGGCGCTCCTGCACCGCCTCGTCGTACGCGGCGAGAGCCTGCTGAGTCTGCGACGGCAGCGCGTACAGCGAGCACACAATCATGCCGAGCCCGTAGATGTACATCTGCCCGATCCCGGCCAGAAGCCCCAGCGCTGCCGTGACCATCCAGAACTCGGGTGTCCTGAGTGCGTGTGGCTTCTCTGTGTGGCGCAGCACGGGCCGTGGCGAAGACAGCACCTGCATCTCGATGGCCGCGGCCACGTTCGGCGCAGGCACACGCGGCCGGCTCCAGTCGTACACGCAGAGCATGGGCGCCGTGACCAGGCCGATTGCAAACGTCACCCGTGCCACAATCTTGAGGAACTCTGCTGTGTCGCCCGGCGCAAGCCAGCTACCCAGCCTGGAAAAGAAGATGCCGCTGGCACCGTAGCACGCCAGCGGCAGCGCCACAGCAAGCCCCTGGCGCGCAGGCCAGGCGAGCATGCTGCTTTTCACGCACGCAGAGCTGAGCCCAGTGCTGCCGACGCCGATCAGGCCAAATAAAAAGCAGCTATACGGTAAGTTCGAGGCAGCAGCGGAGTACTGCTTGTAGAACAGGAAGTAGCCCAGCCAGATAGCCAGGGCGCCCAGAGACGCCGGGACGGTGAATCCGACAGCGTCGATAACGTGTCCGCAGGGCGGGCCGGCGAGGATCGTGGCAGATTGTCCAGCTATCGCGATTCGCGACGTTTGTGCGGCCGTGTACCGTAGCTGGGCCGCGACCTGGGGCGAGAACGCGCCAAAGAAGTACAGGGTCCCGCAATTGAGACTCGCAATGGACGCGCACGTGACAATCACCCACGCAGACGGAGCCATGTGTAGATAGCGTGTGGGTGCTTTGTGTCGATAAATAAATAAATAAATATAAACTCGGTGCTGGAAAAAATATGCCCAAAATCGCATACTTTGGCTCAGACAAGTTTTCGATTCGGTGTCTGACGCATCTGCTTCCGAAATACGCCGACGCTGTCACTGTGGTTGCACGGACGGCCAAGTTGAGCGGCCGTGGGCTCAGACAATACAAGGAACCGCTCATCGTGGAGTACGCCAGCCAAGCAGGTCTGCCGGTTGTGCGCGCAGACGAGCGTGCAGACTTCGACCTGCTGAGGGGCCAGTTCGACATCTGTGTGGCAGTGTCGTTCGGGCTGCTAATTCCAGCCTCGTTTCTCGAGTCGCTCAAATACCCGGGTCTCAACGTGCATCCGTCGCTGCTGCCAGCGTTCTCTGGGCCGGCCCCTATGCAACGCGCACTGCTCAGCCACCAGAAGTACACCGGGGTCTCCTTGCAGACGCTCGATAAGAAGAGGTTTGATCGCGGGCGCATTCTGGCGCAGGAGAGACAAGAAATCGCCGAAGCAGAGACCCTGGATTCTCTGTGCGAGAAACTGGCCGATTCCGGGGGCAAGCTGCTGAGAAACTCTTTGGACACCGGCCTGTACGAGCCGCAGAATTACCCTTCCTTCGTTTCGCAGGAAAGCTACTCGTACGCTGCGAAAATAAAGCCTGCAGAGAAACACATCGACTGGAACAACTACACGACAGAACACATCATGCGGCGCCAGAATACGCTCGGGCCCCTTTTTGCCAATGTCCAGGCCGTCTCGAAGGAGAATCAGCCCATCCTCAAGCGCGTGTACCTGCCAAACTTGCAACCAGCTACCATGCGCCAAGAGTCTGCACAGCCAGGACAATTTTCTCTCAGGGACGGAAAATTGGCGGTGGCCACCAGAGACGGCGCGGTCGAGTGCGCGGGCGCCAGGCTGGAGGGCTATAGGCAGGAGTCGGCAGCAAAATTCATCAGCAGCCTGAAAAAACGTACCGGACTAATATCTAGTGAATTCCTATAGAGCGACAATACACCTCTTGTTGAACTCCTGCACCGCAACGGCGATCTTGCTGTAGAGGTATTTTTTATCTGCCGGGTCGGGGATCGGGATGAACCGCTCCACGCCAGCGGGACCCTTCTGTCTGATGCGGAGGCCCGAATTCTCCAGCGTGATGCTGTTGATTTGGTCGAACAGAATCTCCCATTCGACGGTCATCCGGACGATCGACACAATGACGATCCGCTTCATGCTGACAATCACACAGTGCTCCTGGCCAGGCAGGATCACGTGCGCAAGATACCGGTCGTCGAAGAACTTGCCGCCCTCGCAGCTCTTGAGCCAGAACTGGCCCTGGGCTTCTCTCTCATTGAACGGCGTCAGCGTGCCGTCCGGGTTGATGAACCGCGGCAGACGCACCTTGTCGAGGCCCTCGGCGTCGAAAGCCGTCGCAGTGTTGCGGATCCCCTCGCTGATGTTGTTAGCAAAGTCAAACAGCCCTGTAGCTGTCTTTGTCGGCAGCCCAATCAGGCCTTTGCCCAGCCCTTTGAAAAAGCCAGACGTGCCCTCCTGGTTCGCGCCCTCGATCGGAGCCGTCGCAACTCCCGTCAGCCCGCTCGAAATGCCCTCCATCAGCGACGTCGCGCCCGAAGTGATGCCGTAAAATGGGTGTTTCGGCTTGTTGCGCTGTCTCATGAGCCGGCGCCGCTCCTGGAAGCTCTTGTCCATCGTCGCAGCAGTCAGCCCTTTGGCCATAGACCCTGTGAACCGCGCAAAGCTGTCGCTGAAGCCGAAAACAGACTTCTTCACAAAACTCAGTCCGCCCTTGGCCAGCCCAATGCCCAGCTCCTGCGGCCGGTCCGTCATGATGAAGCCCTGGTACGGCTCATAGAATATGTCCATCACGCCCGAGCTGATGTTGTTGAACAGCCCCACAGGGTTGCCGAGCACGTCCGCGGACCCCAGCACCTTGTACACCTGGTACAGGAACGCCTGCTGGTAGTGCTCGCTGATGTTCTGCACGAGGTACGGGAGTGGTGTACGGATGTTCTCGAGGAAGAGCGAGCCAAGACGCACGGGCGCGTCGTTGATGTTGCCGATCGCCATCGTGAGGATGTTGAAGGCGACGGCGAGCGCGTTCTGGGCCTCGGGCGCGTCCTCTGTGTTGACGCGCTCCGTGCGCACGAACGAGAGGTTGAACTGCAGCGGTTGCAAATGCAGGGCCTCGAAGTAGAGGTCGTTGCCCGTGCGCACCGTTGGCGGCTCTGGGATCTGCAGGTTCTCGTCCCAGAGCACGTTCTGGACGTCCTTGTTCCATGCGGCGCCGGGAATCTTGGAGAAGTCGAGCAGCGCGAACAGAAAGTCCTCGTCCACCTCGATCGACATTTCTTGCAGCAGCATCGTGGCGTACTTGATGTAGGTGACGCCGTGCGTTTCATCTTTGAGCCGCGAGATGGCCATGGAGAACGCCGGGTGGTCGTTCATCTCGGCCGTGGATTTCGGCACAACCGACGGGTACACGATGATCGGGTAGATGTTTGGATACAGCTGGTTGTCGACCTGGATCCACTTCAGCTTGAAGCTGAAATTCTGGTAGATGTCGGACACGTTGTAGCGCAGCTCCACGCCGCGCACCGTGGTGTAGCAGAGCTCCTGGTGTTTGGTGTTGATCAGCGACACACCGACACCTTCGAACCGCACAAGCACCTTGGTGTAATAGTTTTCGTCCTTCTCGATGGTCTCGAACTTGTCGGCGTTGGCCGAGCTCCCGCCGACAGACTGCGACGAGCTGTTGTGCTTGAGCTGGTACATGCTCGTTTTCGGGTCGTAGTTCGAGATGATGAGCGACTGGATCGTGCCGTCGGCGACCACGTTCAGGTCGACGATCTTGGTTGTGCCGTCGGCGGCCTTGCCGATTTTCATTGGCATGAGCGTGCCGATCTCGGCCAGATGCACGTAGCGCTCGCGGGAGCCGCTCCGCAACACCAGCTCCTTGTACTGCGCGGCCGGGTAGTCCCACGCGTACGGCATGGCGCTCTTCGGCGGGATGCGGTAGAAAATAGGCTTGAACGGCACCTGCGACACACGCCGGCCCTCCTCGTTGATATTCGGGTCGGACTGGTAGATGAAGAACTCGTAGTCGCTGAAGTTGCGGATCGAGTACGGCCACATGTCCTTGGCGTCCCGAATGTCCACAAATATTGCTGCTGCCTCGGTGCTGATCACCACACGCACCAGCTTGTGCGCGTTCTCGTTCGGTCTCTGCACACGGATAAACACCTCGCCCATGTCGTTGATGCCGAACGGCGCCGACAGCGCCGCCTTTCTGCCCGAGAACCCGATCTGCAGCTGTTTCGCCGTCGTGCGAGGCATCTCGTACAGCGGACTAAACTCGCCAGGCTCGATGTGCAGCACTCCGGAAGCACCCACCTTGGCCACCTGCACCGCATCAGCCAGACTATTGCGGATGACGTACCGCGGAACCACGCTGATCACCTTGGTCAGCGAGTAGATTCCCTCTCCCTCGGTGATATGGATGCCGACGTCGTTTTCGAGCTCGCGGTCTTTCAACGGCACCTTCACCTCAAACGACTGTCCGATCTTGTCCAGACTGATGTTGGGGCTTGGCTGCGAGTCGCCGACGCGCAGAACGGCGCGGTTTTCCTCCAAGTTGCCGCCCATGAACCGCTTCGTGTCTGTAGCGTCGTAGTCAAACGAGAACAGGCCGGGAACGGTCTGCTCTGGCGCGTCCGGCGAGTGCGCCTCGCAGATCATCTTGTTGAACCGGTCGCTCAGACTGATGTCCTTGCCGGTCCGGTTGAGCACGAGGTACGGCGAGTAGATCAGGATCCTGAGCCCGGACCGGCCGCTGTTCACGTAGTGCAGCCCCAGATGCAGCCGCTGGCCGTCCTCGCTCTTGAGCGTGAGCCGCTTGCTCAGCGGGATGCGCGAGCTGTCCGGGACGTTGATGAACCCGGCCTCCGACTCGCGGTACTTGGAGTGCAGCGGCTTGATGTGCAGCATCAGGATCGCGTTCATGTCCACGACGTGGATCGACTTGGTGGCTCCCTTTTTCAGGCCCCCGGTCCACGTCTTGAACCCCTTCTGGAACACCTTCCACGTGATGTCGAAGGGCAGCAGGTTCTCGATCTCGAGCGGCGGCGCGATGTTGATGGTCATGTGCGGATATATTTGGGTGAGCACCTCTTTCTCGTTGAACGTGGCGTGTGCGCGGAAAAAGTAGCGCTTTGCCACGCCGTCCTCGAGCTGCGGACACTCCAGCACCATGTCGTTCTTCATGATGGCGCGCCAGTCGAAGCCGATCGACGTGTCGCTGCCCATGATCTTCGACGAGGACCAATCAAACGACTGCTCGTGCACCTCGGGCCGGATCGCGAGCCGGCTGTCGTAGACGTGCTCCACGGGGACCGCGTGCCGCTCGCCGGCGGCAATCACCAGCTCGTCCAGCACGCCGTCTTCGCTTCCCGACTGCGCCAGCAGCGCCACGCAGATCGGCGTCTGTGTGAAGTTCTGGATCGTCAGCGTGGACTTCAGATACACCTTCTTGACCTTATCCTCGCCCAGCACGATCTCGCACGCGATCCTGTTATGGTAGCCCTTCTCCAGCTTCGGGTTCAGCATGAACACGTCCTCGCCCTCGCTGCGCAGCGAGACGCGGCGCACGGGCGCGTACGGCGAGTCCAGAAGCTCGACTCCAATGAAGTTCGACTCGGCGTCCACGTCGAGCGTCTCTCTGACCTTGCGCCAGTCCTCAAACGACCACGGCACCGCCTCGTTGTTCTTCAGCACCGTCAGCTGCCGCCGCTCCTGCAGATTGGGGTCGCCGTCGTCGATCCAGATGTGCAGGTCGTGGCCCGTCTCGTTGATGATCCGGTACGGCGCGTCCTCGCCGCGCGGCTTGAAGTCGGTGTCCTCGGTGATCAGCGCGCTCACGTGTGAGAGCAGCGCGATGCTGCGCGACGTGACCGTGATCTCGGCCAACTCGCGCGACGCAACGTCCACCGTCAGCGACGGCGTCGGCTCGCTCACTTTCGAAACGTGCACGCTGAACGACCACGGCTCCAGCAGCGGCTCCCACGCCGACGTCGAGTAGTTGAAGATGTTGACGAGCGACTCGATGCTCGTGTCGGCCTCCAGGTCGGTGGACCAGTTCTTCGCCGTCACCTCGAACGGCTTCACCTCCATGTCCAGCACAGGCAGCTCGTGCAAGTCGCCGATGACGACGAGCCGCAGCCCGGAAACGTTAACTCTCAGCCGCTCGTTCTTGACAATCACCACGAGCTCGTCCGTGCCGCCGTCCGTCTGCCGCGTGCTGCGCGACACCGACGACAGCAGCGACGGCGCGTACCGGCTGATCTTCTTGCCCAGCTCGTCCGGGAACGAGACGTACGTCGTGGCCGGCGCGGCGCACTGCTCTGTCTTGGCCGCCTCCTGGATCTGCGCGTACATCGACGAGGCCTTGCTGATGATTTCCAGCGCAAGCCGTATATCGCGGAGCGAGATCCGCATCATGAGCGGGTCGATCGTCATGTCGACCACGCTGAGGAACTGCGTCGCCGTCGACCCGTGCGAGTCCAGGTTGAAGCTCGCAGAGAAGTCGTCCACGATCCGCAGCCGGCTCGTCTCGTACGCGTCCATCTTGCACAGGAACATGCCCATGCCGATCGCGTTCACGTTCAGAATGTTCTGGCTCGTCACAAGGAACTGGCTCACCTTCAGCACAATCGCCTCCGAGTCCACGTTCTGCGGGTTTGCCAGAATTATCACCGACGGATCCACAACGTTGACCGCGTACTGCACCACCACCTCGGACTCGGGCTGTGCAGCAGCGGCCTCCTGCTGAGGCTGCGGCCGCTGCTGCGGCTCCGAGCTTTCGTCGCCGTCCGAGCCGTCAGCGCACTCCAGCGCGAACGACCCGGGCTCGTCGCTGGCCAGCGCGTAGTCGGCAAACTCCTTCAGCGAGAA